CGCTTTTCGATTGAGTGTTGTACAGCAACCTAAAATAACCTCAACGGCAACTCAGGATAAAGGAAAATATCACGAGAAGCTTACGAAAACTCAGCGTACAAACAAACTGCCATAAAGAGCGGGAAAAGGCGGGAGATTGGCAGAGATAGTGGCTCGAATTTTCAAGACCGATCTTTGACCGTAACGAAGAAAAACTGATGTAGTCCCGGATTACCATTGACAATCAATTGAAAGTTGTTCTAAATAAAGGTCTAAACACTTGTTATTGTTGTGTGTTGTTATATTTCAGGGTTTCTTGCCCATTTCCCATCCGATTCTCGAAGATTGCCGTTTTCTTTAGCAATCAGGTAAGTTAAAATATTCCTACATACGTTAGGCTAGTGTTACGTTGTTTCGCCAAAATATGAAAGCACAGTTTAGTCTCAAGCTTACAATAGCAAGGTAACTACCACAGCTAACCGGAACGAAGGTCGACCATAAAATGCACCGAGGAGAACCGACATCAAACAACTGTGTACAACAGTAAGTGTAGGAAACGCGGATAATAAAGGCATGATTGGTTTGGTTTTGCATATGGCGTTGAGCTGATGTCTTATTGTCTATGATCTTGAAGGCGTCAAAAGTGAAATGTAATCATTTGTGGTCACTTCGGGTGTGAATCGCAACATTTCGACTGCATACTGCCAGTCTTCTTCAGGCGATGAGGTCGACCGAGTACGCGTCACTAATATGCTCTTGTGCTTAGCTGTGATTGAAATTTCACGGCTGTGATTGCATGCTTGGAACAGGCTAATCTCGTGTCTGTCTGCCTGTAATCATGCCATGACATTCTGGAAGCTAATTTGGTTGCATTTTCTACTGGCCTGACTCAATTTTCTTTTATCTTTTATCTTAGTTTTATAACCAACAGTGTGTTGTGGAGACTGGGTCCGCTCAAGGGGAGGGTGGATTGTATCTTCTTCCAGCAAAGACCAAAGTCATACCATTTCAACTAGTGCCCCAGCCTGAGGATGTTGGAAAACTACTTCAGGTAAAAAATTACTGAAATACTTCCCCATACGAGTCTTCGCACTCATCAATAATTTATTTGTATGAAATGATAATGTTGCAGTCAGCTGACGAGACTAGTAGCCAAAAGAGGAAAAGCTAATGATCTTTTACTAGAAACTATCTTTAGAGTATTGCTGCCAGTCCAAAGTAAGATTGCCCCCCTCCCCCCGCTTCCCCGCACTTTATCATTCCTAGGTGTAGAGTAAAGAATTTTTGCCCAAGAACATTACTCAGTGATCCCAACCAGGGCTCAAACCCAGATCTCTCGGTAGTGTCACCGTCAAAGTTTGACAGAAAACTTTTTTCCGGAGGAGACTGCTTTAAAAGAGACTTCAGATTTAAGCTTTCTTCGTTGTGGTTCCTAGGTCACCTCCGTTGCTTTGGAGTTGGGGTCTCGTGAGTCTCGGTGTGCTGCACTGGTGTGGAGTGGCTGGGGAGGGGAGACTGGTAACCAAAACCTCCCTTTTGTGTCATATGGTTTAAAATCCGCCAGCAAGGAGGATCAGTTTGACTGGGATGAGTTAAAGGTCATCTCGAAAATCAAGTAAGTCATGCATGTTTTCCATTGAATCTTAAGCTACGGAGTGGAGTTTATAGTAACAATTATTAACAGACGCAGAGGTAAATTATTGTTTCAGTTTGTACCACACAAACTGAATGACTAGTGAGCCAAAACATTTTTAACGTATCTACCTCCGAGCTAGCCAATCAGTGCACGTAAAAACGGTATCCACGTGAATGGTAATTGCTTACAGGTTTGAATCACATGGTATTGAGAGTTCTTAGTAATTAGTCAAATGAATAATTACGACCCCAACAAGGTGGAATTTATTGTTGATATCAGTTCCCTTCGCGAACTCTTTACGCCAGAATTGAACCGCGCAAGCCTAGAGTTAATATCACACTGAAGCACGAACCACCCGCCCTCGTAAACGAGCTGTATGGACTTCAGCTGGTTGTTGAGAGTTTGGAAGATACACCGCTGAAAGACCTCAGGTATGCCTTTTCAGTGTGTTTTTATTTAAGTGTTAAACAAGAACGTGAACCAGTTCCCTCCTCTCTTACCGTCCATTTTTTATTTGAAAGTAGTGTTTTCGCAACATGTCTTTGCCTTTCTCACATTTTCGCGCTTTTTTCGGTTTCCGTGAACCTAAGTCCTCTTTCAAGCGTTACAACAACAATATATGCCTTTTTTTAGAGTATGGCTTGGATTTCAGGACGAGCAGGAATCTCCCGAAAGAGGTGAGTGTTTTAAAACAACAATGTCTTCCCAAATGTTATATTGTCATATGTCAATAAAGATATTCAATTCGAGAGAGCCTGGGTATTTTCCTACGTCGGAAGATTATAGCGTTAAAGCGCTTTTTGCTTGAGCGCCGTAAGCCAAAACCGCAGGAATCACAACAGCCAATCAGAAGAAAGGAAAATAACTTTAAGAGCCAATTAGAGTTCAAGGTAAAACCGAAGTTTTACATCTGATTGGTGGAGAGAGAGGCGCTAGTTTTCTGGACCAATCACACAGCGAAGTTAGGCAAACCCAATGTAATCTTGGTTTACTTTCAACACTTAGTTGAAAATTGCTCCAAATTGCATTCATAATCTGACCGATCAATATGTTTTGTTCAAAATGTCGAGTTTCTTTTAATTGTATTTCCAGGCGCTTTGATTTACTCAGAAGTACCCGCAGCAGATCAGGCTGAGAGAGATGCAACGAACTTTTTGGAATTTACTGTGGATGGAAAGACTGATAAGGTATGAGAGGTTGTATAAAGGATGATACATAGGCGTGCATGGCTACGAATTTTATCTTCGACCCTTGCGTCTCTACCTTTAACCAAGAAGCTATGCATTTCAGAGTGAAATTTGATTCGCGACACGTGAGTTGCTTTAGATTTGTGAACGGAAAACTTTGATGGTGGTGGTGAATTTATTGGTGTGTTCACATTGTGAACCTTATGACACGCTGAACTTTAATCCTTTTAGACGTTTTGGTGTGTAGTATGGCTGTGTATTTTTACGACGTTGTCGTATTTTGACAACCGATTCAAATTGAAAACCAAGGAATGAAAATACTCAGCGATGCCATACACCAAAACTTCTGATAGGTTATTCGTTATCCAACTGATTTATTTATACGAAGATGTCGTCCATTCTTTTCTCCAATGAATCAACTCACGTAAGCATAGCCAACCATAGCCGACATTGCTGATCCTAACAGTATGCAGGACGCGTGTCATATTTGCACTTCGTAATGGGCCTTGTTCATCATGGAGTCTCTGCGGCTCAGTGGTAGAGCATCGGAGCGCGGAATCCGAAGATCTGAGGTTCGATTCCTCATGAGCACTCAGAAGTTTTTCTTTGTCTCACGCTCATGACAAGAAGAAAAGATCTTTCTCATTTTCTCTACCGAGCTTAAAAATAATTTCATACCCTACATCCTATTTACAAGATTTTTTTTTCTGCCGCACAAAGTAACTAACTGTCGAAATAACCGTACAATATCGCAGGATATTTTTACTCGATGCGCCCATTGATTCTTTTTCATACTCTACTTAGTGCTTTTGGATACTTCGTTTGTCTAGTGTGCAGGAAAATTAGGCTTTAGCACCAATGAACCGTCGTAGTTCACGTCTTGCATATTGTCAATGTGTCCCTTTCGTCTTTTCTTCCTAGATCGAGAGGTCGTACTTCGTCAAATGCTCTCAAGTGGGATCGCGGACTGTAACAGCAAAGGTATAATACCTAAGTAAGCTGTAATTGCACCTTTAATCACAAATATTTGGGCGTCTGTTTAGAGAACTCAAGTCATATTTTCGTGCTATACGTAGCCTGCAGAAGAGGCGCAACATTTTTGCGTTTTTAAAGCGAACGAGGATAAGCAAGAGGGGAGGAGTGCGTCATTTTTCTCCCGTCTCTCCCTCCTACGTCACTTCCGCTTGCCTCCGTTCACCCTATTGTGCATGTTCTGTTGGCTATGAGTTCCGTTCAATACGTAGTTGAAAGATCTCTATACAATACCTTTAGATACGCAATATTTTTCTTTGTTCTTAATCTCTAAGGATCAAGTTTCAAGTTAAGATATCTTACATTCTTTAAAAAGATTCCAATTTTCTTGTTTTGTTTTTATGCAGATTATTTATACAGTAGATGTCCAAGTAGAACCAAATTCGTCGCCAATCACTTGTACTTGTTCCAAGGTGAGATCACTCTTTTGTGTCTTAAAGAAAGATAAAGCTACCTCTCAGTATTCTAATCCACAGGACTAAACAAATTTGCAAGCGCCGCGTAAATTTCCACATTTAATTTTAATCCTCGTTCGCTTTTTAATGTTGTTGTATTTGTGAATGTAAGTTGCACTTGTAACATGGAGCGCTTTTCGATTGACTGTCGTAAGACCATAACCAAAGTAATCACAACGGCCAATCAGAAGACAGGAGAATACCTTAAAGAGTCAATGAGAACTGAAAGTAAAAACAACAATACCCAAAGGGCGGGAAAACATGGCTTTATTATTGCATCTGATTGGTTGAGAAAGTGGCGCGAGTCTTCTGGACTAATCACAGAACACAAGTAATCTCAGATTTCATTCGACACTCAATTAAAAAATCCTCTACCTGGTGAATATAAAATCACGACGTCTTTTTGCTTTCTTCTTTCTCTACTGTCCTGATTTATACCCGCCCTAGGAGGAAAGTGTTGTTATCAAGACTGTTATGCCATTTGAAATCTCTTTGTCTCTGACAAATCTCAAGGTAAGGGAAAGTAGGCAATATTTTTTACGATGCAATTTTACGTCTCTTGGAATCGATCAAACTTGCGCTTTTGGCTATCTGTGCAAACGTGCTCTCGCTCTTGTCTCAAATTTCTTTCTTACTCTGAAAGTTACGGCATATATTAATACATTTATAAATCCGTCAAAATTTTTTTATCGTGGCATAACTCTGCGAATATAAACCTGGTCTGGACCAACACGCCTCTGAATTAGGGTACTGTTGTTGGAATTGTTGATTAGCGTCAAGGCAACGCCGCAGTAAACGATGGTTTAAAAATGAATTTCGCAAATGGCTGAATGTGTTTACCATTTCTTACAGCGCTACACGTCAACCGTAGCATAACGTAAGGAAGCCGTGTAGAATTCCATTGGGGTTTCCGTACACAGACCACGCAAATTTGGTTGATATCACGTTGGAGTTTTGCCAAAGACGGCTAATAAATGTACAAAGATTTTATACGCACGTGCCGATCTGCCAATTTGATCTTTTGTTTTGTAACGCCCTCATTGTGGTCGTCATGGTTTGCTTTGAGTCCATATTTACAGGGAACTAAAATTAATTGCATTTTCGTTTTTTTAATTCTTTTTTCTTTTGGGGAGGGGGGGCGTGTACACCACAGCAATTTAATGAGCCTAAATCATTGATTTGCGTTTATTCTCAGTTGGAGAGACTGGATCAGCTGTTCGAAGAAGAACCATTCCTCTTATTAGCTGGTATCAAATGCACCTCACCTTGGCCTGTTACCATGGTCACCACTACATTGAATATGGTGAGGTTGTAAACAATACAATTTATGTTCGCAAAAACTGGGTTTGTCTTCTTTAAGAAAATATAATCGAGAAGATAACAAGTCGATGAAGCAGGAGAGCATATGCAGCCTTTCCTCTCCCCTCCCCCCCCCCCCCCCCCCCACGCCCCCCCCACGAATCACGATGGGAATGTAAGCCAGTGCATAGATATACACTTTAACCTAAGTGCGTGATTTCCCCCGCCGGAACTTTGCAATTTAACTCACTGAAGAAAAAGCAGTCTGAGCAATTCAAGCTTTATCGGGGATTGACGGGGAACCTATATCTTCTAGAGAATAGTCGGGTGCTACTTTCAACTATGGTAGAAAGAACAAGCAGACATTCTGGACAACTGTTTGTTTGTTTGTTTGATTTCAGTCTCCTGAAGTGAATATTGTGGGTGAAGAGATGGGATCGCAGCTGCAAGGGAGTAAGGATTGCATGTCTGTGTATTACGAGAATAACCGATCTGAATTAGTTAAGGATGCGTCTACTTGCACTGCCGTCCCAAAAAATCCGTGAGATTGTCGTTGTTACAGCGTATCGGGCTTCTTTTTAACTAATCGCCAAACATTTGGGGAAACTAGACAAGGTTGACCGATTTTTTGGACCAACTGAGGTAGGGGGAAATCTGCAGGGGAATACGATGGGAATTTTCCTGAGGGGCTTCAAGGCTTTCAAGGCCCCCTCCTCATACTACACAAGGTTGAGCGATTGTGTAGACCAATGGAGAGAGAGGGAAATCTACGTGGGAATACGAGGAGAATTTTGTTGAGGCGTTTTCAAGGCCCCTCTTCATTTAAAACAATGACCAACGGAGGAAGGGGGTAAGAATTTGCATGGGAATAGGAGGTGGATTTTGTTGACGGGTTTTCAAGGCCCCACTTAGTGAAAACATACAGCTTTGCGATTTGTGCCCCTATATGCAAATTGCGGGTTTCAAGATTTCTCGTGAAAATTTGGCAATTATTCCCAACTTGCTAGCTGTTAAATCTTTACAGGATACTTTGTCTCTTTCTCCTTCTAACGTCATGTATGGTGGTCCCAGTCTCTTTGCAACAGGGTGAAAGTGCGTCGGAATGCTACTGCTTAGCTGTTAAAGAGGGTGTCAGTAAAATGAAGGTCGTGAACATTGGAAGTCTTGCCCTCCAGTGGAGACGGTAAGTCCGTGATTACACTCGAGGGACTAAGAAAAGTGAGATAAATATTGAGACAATTTTCAATGGAGTACCCAATGTAATACCGAGCTGCATTCAAAATTTGGTCCGCCTTCCTTTGCTCTGTGATTGGACAAGGAAAGTTGCGCAACTGTCTCAACCAATCATGAAATGCAGAGTTTAAACCAATAGCGACTTGGCCCACCTGCGTTTTCCCGCGCTTCAGGCAGTTTGCTTGTTTTTTCTTCGTGTTCTCATTTGTTCTGATGTGCCGATTTTATTACTTTGGTTTTTGGTTTTTGCCAACACTCGGTAGACCCACTGATGCCTTTTCAACTGAACCTTATTTAGGAGAATATGTCCCAATCCTTTCGTTGCTTGATTTAATCATTTTAAATTTTTTAATTCTCCAGAACTTCTGCGGCTGATAAGTTTCCAGTTGTGGTGACAGAGCTCACTTTCCCCTCTGTAACAGTAGAGAGTGTTCCTTTTGCGATACAGGCAGGTACGTATCCAGCAATGTTATTCATACGGCAATATGCCAAGCGTCAAAATCAAACTATATACGAAAGGGTCTTTTCATGCTTCTCGCTGTTGACCTGATAATATCGTGCAGCTTTTGTAGAGGCATCGTCGTCCAAATGTGACTGGGAGAACAAAATTGAGTGGTACACAAAATTTAGTAAAATTGCGGGCAAATTAGCATAAACACGATGAAGTCGATAAGGTTGTGCAAAAGCACTCTTCCCGCGCTTTTTACAGGGTTTCAAATTGTTCGAGAGATGGGTAACAAACGCGGGAAAGTTAGTTCTAAAACCTTACACGCACTAGGAGAAGCTACTCATAAAAAAACGTGGTTAAACTCAGTGTTAATAAATGTATAGAGGGGGTACGTTTTTTGACATAATTTGGTGTTGCGTCGGTTGGGGTATTGCACAATAGTTGTTTTATCAACAAAGTTAATAAAAGAAATTAGTCCCTGTAAAGAGTTTCTCAAGCGGACCTCTCGAGCGTCAGCCCTACGTCGATACTTCAGCTGTAGAAATCCTTTACGGTGGCCAATTTACATTATCACTTCAGTTGATAAAACCAAATTATCTTTAAATATATGTATTTGTTAATGAATAGAAAAGGAAAGGCGGTAAATTCTAAGCTCCGTAATAAAGTAAAGAAAGATATTTTTCCTTCTTGTCACAAGCGTGGGACAAAGAAAAAGTAGAGCTTGCCATTCGAGAGCGGAATTCGAAGTTCTGGGGCTCTAATCCTCATGGAGACACGCCCTCGTTACAAGACCAAAGGAAAAAAATGTATTTATTGTACCGTTTTTTTATCAGATTTGCCTGCATACGGCTGTGTACAGACTCCACTTTTCGTAAGCTATCTCGTCCGCAATAGAACGCTTCAAGTCCAGGAAGTCGAAGTCACAGTGGAGCCAAGTGACGCCTTTATGTATTCAGGTCATAAACAGGTTAGTTCAGCTTACTTGCTACACGTAAAACATGTCTCATCCGAGGGGGTTTGGTGAAATAATATACTTGAAGAAGTATATTATTGGCTACTGCGCTGTGATTGGCCAATCAAACTCCCAATATCCTTTGCCATTTATCTACGAGAAACGTGGGCGGAATTTGCCAGAAGCCAACGCAACTTTGTGAATAGTTTTTAACGATGAATTTCTTTTCCAGATTCAATTTCGTCTGCTGCCAACTGGCGATCACAGGCTCAAGTTCAGTTTGTACCCTCTTTACGCCGGGTTTTTGACTCTTCCCAAGCTGCATTTCAAACTGCCTCGCTTTCAGGTTAGCTGGGATGAACATACGCAGAAATTGGTTCCGACCAATGTTTTTATAAAGGTAAGAAACTTTTTTTATGTCCAAAACGTGAAAAAATGCAAATATTTTGCAACGCGTTGGCAGAACATCGGATAACGGTCAACTTGGTTTGCTATATTTGTTAACACAATTATCGTTTTAATTCGGTTCTCTAAATTAATTATAAATTATTCAAGTTTTTGATTACCGTAACGTTAATGATTCTAATCGCCACACTGGCTTCTCGCTGAAAGGCTGTATCCTTTAACCCTTTCACTCCCAAGATATTTTTATTAACTCTCCTTACTGTCTGTCTTACGATTCTTTAGATGTTAGTTCGGAGAATTTGTCATTGGATCAACTGATAATCCCCTAATTGCTAATTTTTTTATTCGCATAACTTGTCTGCTTTATATTGTTTTGATATTGTAAGGAGAAATTCTGTCTTAAGTCACTTATGAGGACTTCCTGACTTGAAAGTGGATGTGAATTCTCAGGCCTGGTGGCCGTATTTGCAACACCTTTACGGCCCTGAAACGAAAAAACAAAACAAACAACAGCGTGGACCGACTGTCTGAACAAATTACACATATCAAAAAATTTATTAGTTATCAGTTTTAAAAGTTAGCACGTAGGGTAACCTTACGAAAACAGGTCCAGAAGTTTTTAGTACAACTAGCGACTGGAATACCGGTGATTAGTCATAAAATGGATTAGTCACAAGTTTTAAAAGTTAGCATGTAGGATATCTATGCAAAATCAGTTATAGAGGTTTTTACCATAATTAGCAACTGGAAATCCAGTGGAAAACTCATTTATAACGTGTCTGTTATCACGCAGCCTCGAGGCCGGGAATTGGAATCAGAGAAGAAGCCTGGTTACTAGTACTAAAGATAGCTAATGGAACAGTGGAGACTGGAGGCAAACTTTCCAGTTATAGTCACAATAGGATTTTAAGCAGTAAAGTGATGCAGCGGAGGTTTGAACCGCTGTAAACTGACAGCCACCTGAAGGAAATTCTTTAGTGGGGGCTTTTATCCACTGGCTGGTGAATTGCAGGATGTTTAAGGCCAAACAACTCTGTGGTTAACAGATACGCTTATGTGTTTTTGCGCGCATGTCGCATTGATATCACGTAGAATTTGGAGCAAAACCAATGCAATCTTGGATTAAAAATTTCCCTATGAGTTCAAGATTTCTTTCGCGTGGTCGTTGACGTGGGCCAAGCCTGAATCAATTATCAGACAGAGAAATCAAAAGCAAATAATTTAACTGTTTGGTTGAACTTCTAAATTGAACTCGTTCAAAACTTAACAACGAAACAGGCTCATGATTTTTTTAGACACCTGGACAGTATGAGGCTACGTAGTTGTGTAGCCAATCAGATTGCAGCTTTTGTGAATTTCTACTGATATATGATTTATGATAATTATTTCTGTGAATTTATAGCTTATACCGTCGATTCTTAAAGAAGTTACTGTTCCTTAGCAAGGAAATTGTAAAAGTCAACATAGTCTTAGTCATGTAAACTTAACTGGAAATAATGGAAAAAAAACAACATCAACAAAACGAACGGGCAATACAAAAATGTTCAAACAACGATGAATGACTCAAATTAATGGCAGCAGCCATATTTCATATTGAAATTTAGGAAATAAAAAAATAATGTTATGTTGCTATGTTTACCTATTACTTAAAGGATCTATAACACAAGAACAACCCATAAATCTTTCAAGGGGATCGGGGAAATCGAAATGTAAAACATGTCAGAGCTTCCAAATGTCTCTTTTCTGACGAAAGATGAGAGTTATGTAAATCTGCTTAGTTTATAATAGTCCTAGAGTACATTTTATAAATAATTGAGATACTACAAGCCCTAATTGGTAAAAAAAACTTTCGTTATTGTATGAGTATCCTTACAGATAATTGAAACTTAGTCTTTTGTTTTTGAGCTTTTTTTTTTTTAAATAATAACTCTATGTTAGCGTGTAAAGTGGTATGTTGCTCACACCAATCAGATCACCGCAGTAGGGTATGTATCTCGCACCAATCGGATTGCCGCATTAAGTTATGTATCTCGCACCAATCATATGTCACAGCAATTGGATATCTTTTACCTATCATAGTGTTTGAGTATTGTTTTCTTGCAAATGATTTCACAGAATCAGGGGCCGTGCACAAAGAATGACGTTAACGTGAAATTTTGGGCTTATTTGTTGATTGTTATGGTTGTGACCTTCGTTTTAGCCTCGTCTATTGAGGTCGAGATTTATCGGGATATGAAAGGTTCGTATTTAACCTTATTGTAATATTTTCAAGTTAAAACGTGTTTATACCGCTTCTTTTCCAACAACGCACATGTCAAACAACTTACATTCCATCATGTACTATGAAAACAACGTCCAAAGTCCAATCAGAACATATCGAGTCATTGCAATACATGAACATCAGGCAATTTTTCAGCTGCTTGATTTGTGTTCCACTAATCAAATTCCATTTTGCCACATTAGACTTCGCTCCACCAGGTGCCATTTCCAGGTAAACAACCTGCTTTTTCTCCAAACCAAATGCTACTGATAGTGAATTTGCCACACAATTCTCCCACGCATTGACTTTTTCTACGAATAAAATTCGCTTTGGCTTTAAATTCGACTTAACCCATCGCTTGTTAATTTCTTGTAAACAACCTGCATTTTATCACGTTTTTCACACAGGCGACAAAGTCCAGATAGGCAACAACTAATCAAGGATCCCTCTTTGAAATATTATCCTTTTCTTTCGTTCAGTATATATTCACTCATGCAAGATCGCAATATATTTTTGGTTAGGGTCTATTGGAGATACAACGTAGTTAGATTACGTGGAATTATATTTTTGAGGCGACTAACTGGAGACGAATAATTTTGATTTTCTCTCTGTTAGAGCAACGGTTGTAAGCGTAGTCTCTTTCGCAACAATTATTTGGTTTCGTCACGCAACGGGTTCACTCTCCAACTGGAATACAGGGTGTTGTGTGACGAGGCTAAACAACGACTGCGAAGGAGACTACAGTGAGCGTGGCACCGATGCATTTAATTTTTGCTCGGAAGTATTTAGACAATAGAGACAATAAATTACAAAATACCTGTGGGTGTTTGGATAAATAAGGTTTGTTTTCGTTCTCTTAAAGTGAAGTAATGCGATTTTTTCGTTCTTTTGAAAGTTATGAAAATATTAGGACACATAGTGACCCATCTCAACCTACCCAGCTAAAAAACTAACTTTTGCATGCCAGGCATGCCTATGTTTAGTTTATTTTATTAAAGGATAGATCGCACTTTCTATCGGTAATAACCCACTTGGGATGTCGAAAGGTTTGTAAATCGTCACCTCCAGCTCGTGATTTACAGACTGCTCTCGTGTCGTCCCAAAATCTGTCGTGGCAGTCTATAGCTGAAATATCTTATATATCGAAAAGAAAAGTGTCAAGTAAATAAACCTAATGAATACTTTTGTGTTCAGTAACTTGGTGTCACTCGAGGTTGATGTTAAATTATTAATTGAATTAAGCAAATGAGAGGGTAATTTAGTATTATCAACTGGGTTATAACGTAAATTGGCCACCATAAAGAGTTTCAAAGCTGACGTTTCGAGCGTAAGCCCTTCGTTAGAGTGATGTCAGAGCGACGTGAAAGTTCTAACGAAGGGTTAACGCTCGAAACGTCAGCTTCGAAACTCTTTACGGAGGCTAATTTACGTTATAACTCAACTGATAACTCTGAATTATCCTATTATACTTTCCCACCGATGCAACACCACATTCACTTTAGAAATCAAACTTACCCCTTTATAGGTAAATAAGAACGAGGTCATGAGAGCGTGTTGTTCAACTCAGCTTGTACCCAAGCCCCCAACACCGTCTGAAGAGGTATTTACCCCTGAATCTTGGGATCTGGGATTTGGGTCTTGGTCTACCTGTTGCCGCATCGCTAGTGTACTCTCCTTTTGTTTGAGTGATCCTTCCCCGACTTCAACCATCCCTCCCCCTCCCCCTCCCCCTCCCCCCACCACATCCCAAATCCCCTTTTTAGTACCTCCACCATCGCTCCAGCACCCAACCCTCTTCCCCTCGCCTACGAACTCGGCGGGAAACAACAGAACAAGAACAAAGCCTACGTCAGCGTTTTCTATCAGCCAGCGGTGATTCCCCAGCGCTTATCAAAGTGAAAGTGTGTTGTGGATACAAACGGAAGAGGGGAACCACCGATGAGTACTGTTACCGTTTTTCCCTGTGAATCCTTATGAAAGGGAAAGATCGGTAGAATTTCATTGTAATGTTACCATAAACAAATTTTAGAATCCTCTTTAAATATTGTAGATAGCATGACAAGGCATTAGTTCCTCATTTGGTCTTTTGAGCGATTCACGGCTTTGAAAATGGACGAGGAGGAAGAAGTGAAAACGGAATACTGTTCCAATTGGTAAGTCCCTTGCGCTTTGTAGACTATGAACACCATCATTTGAAGAATTGTGGACAATTTTAAGCGATGAGCACAGTTTTGTCGCTTCAAATCGTATTTCTGTTGCACGCAATTTCAAAAACTGCAATGTCATTCCTTATTTTGATCGTTATTTTTTCTCAAACAAAACCTTTTGATGCTGTTTCTTCGGCGACAAACGTGTTTTTTCTAGATTGCGAGTCATCTTTTTATCGTCTTTACTCGGTGATGGTCAAGATCGACGGAAAGGCTATCGAAAGCGGAAGCATTTCAAAGCAACTAAAAATCGCATTTGTAGATATTCATCCTCCCTGATTTTCGCTCGCTAATGGTTGTTTTTTGTGATCTCATGTTCTTTATTATTTCTTTTAAATATGGAACTCGTTGTGTCTCGTCTTTTTAGTGAAGAAGTCACATTACTTAAGGTTGTAAAATTTAATGTTAATTCAATTTAATGATACTACATTTGCATTTTCATTCCGTGGTCACTGATCCAGAAGGATCACATCTGCCTGTTCAACGTGGTGAACTTTTCTTCGTTTTGAAGTTTTTTAGGGAAATCAAAACAGGCTTTTCCTTGTATGGTATTTAGACAAAATATGTCATCTTCACCGCTTTTTTTTTTCTCTCAAAATTTTTGTAGAATATATGTTGCATTCCTTTGTGCCTAATTTAGCTCTCATTGATGTTTGACCTGTCCGTTATGTAATATTATAATGTTCGCTTTTTGTTGAACCTTTATCCAAGCAGAAGTGACAGGCTTTGAATATAAATTAGTTATTTCTTCAGTGGTTGCAGTATCCACTAGATTCAGGTAGCAATATGGTGCCTGTGAATATGAAAGCGATCTTTGCAGTATTGAACACTACTTGAGCAGTAGTGAAAATAAGGCCTGAAAAGTAGTGTTCATTACTGGGAAGATCGCTTTCATGTTCACGTCTTTATCTGCAGTTCACATATATGATTTCTATATATTCACAGTCATTTAATGCAGAGCTTATTGGCTTTGAGTGAGAACCAAATTCCTGTTTTATTCTACATTGAATTAAAAAAAATATGGTCACAACAGCAAGTGGATCTGATAACTTCTTTGTAAACGCATACAAACATGCAAATCAGCAAGCAACACAAAGCGTGCACTGTGGTTATACATGACATGATAACCAGTGACCTTGAGTGTCCTTGACATGATAATTGTATAATCTGTAGCTAGATGACATCTCAGGTGCTGATTTTGAAAATTCACTGTACATTTTCAGCCAATTAGAAAAGAGATAGTGTGTTGAATGTATAATAAACATGATTAACATTTATCACAAAAACAGTAAACGTGACATCCCAGCTGCCAACTTTGTGATGCATGTCAATCATTGTCAGAGGAATCTGATGTTATGTAAGGAATGTGGGGAACCAATACCCATCTCACAGCAGGAAGAACATTTTGAAGAATACCATGCCAAGGTGGGTATTGTGTTTGGAGGATAAGGTGCAGATGTTTCTTGTTTCTCAGTTCTTTGGAGAAAAACATGCTGAACCCTATAACTCCAATGAGTGACCAAGACAGAATTTCTCCTTACAATATCAATACAATATCAAGAAAAGATGAGATGAGAATAAGGAAAATATCAATTTGGAAGTTATTAGTTGATCTAATCCAGATTCTCCAAACTGACATTATTAGAAGAGACTACGGTAGAGTGTATGGAGAATAAGAACTTGGCAGAAGGAGATAAGGTGATTCCTCATTATTACACGATACATCTTGTGCTGTCCATAATACGACGTCATCAGGTGAACAAATGTGTGTGCATTCCAAGAACTGATGAAATGACGCACATGATTAGTACCAGCTCAGGCAGAGATGGGGTAAGATTGGCCCATCACATCTCTGAAGCAAGTATGGTGACTTATTTTTTTTCCATTGTAGTTCTCAAAACAGAGCCTGGTATGGAACATTTCAAAAAAAAGCATTTAACAACTTTTGTTTCTGAGAAATGACCTTAACATCCATTGTATAATGGCTGGGTCTTTTCAAGGCCAGAACTGACTGGTAATTCCAGAGAAATGGTTGTTATATTGGGAGTGTTTAAACTGTTAAAAGTTTGGATTAGCATTGATTCAAAAATGTCTCCAAGTGATGGTTGCCTGGGAGCAATATTTTGCAGTTTGAGATGACTTGATATGTATTTGTTTTACAGGAACAATGTGAATGTGGTGAGCTTGTGGAGAAAATAAATCTTGATGACCACAAGGTATGTTTAAAACTATTCCATGCTAGTTTGTTTGTTCCACAGGGTTACAACAGAGTTTACCACAAAGAGAAGTTTTTTCATTCAACGCTTCACTAACAGCACTCTAAGCTGTGACTCTTTTGGTGATCCTAGAGTATTTACCCTTAAACACCAAGATCTGATTTTCAATTCTCCCCTCTTGCTTCTACTCATTCCCTTGTAAATTGGTTACAAGAATTTGGTGATCAACAACTTCTACCTCTTGAAGTTCTTGAGTATTCTCATAACCTGTTTGCAAGATAATGAATGGATTTTATAGGGAGAATTTACATGTTAATCACTTCTGGGAGTTAAAAGGTTAAAATAATCGCTCTGACGAAGGGCTAACGCTCGAAACGTCAGCTTTTTTAGCCTTTATGGTGGCTAATTTACGTTTTCAACCCAGTTGTTAACACTAAATTACCTGCTATAGCAGAAGCTGCCCATTTGGGCATTTGGTGATAGATCATTTGCCCATTCGCCCATTTGGGAAACTTCTGCCAACATTTGCAGTTATGGTACAACTTTTGCAGTATGATGACTGATGTACATGTGGTGGTCAGGATATAACTCTGTCGGGAAGTATTGCCCAATCTACCTTTCCCAATTTTTCCCTGGCCAGTTATTAAATTTTTTCTCTGACCACCACTTTATGATTTAAGGTTACCAAATGGAAACTTTGGGGAAAAAATGAGCTTTGAACCCTGATTTACCAGTATATGAAACAGCAAGCACAACTTAACACTTTGTCTTTTTGTATGACAACTTAGAGAGCAATTGAAAGTACTGTTAACTGACTGTTAACCCTTTAACTCTCATGGGTGACCAAGGCAGACTTTCTCCCTACAATATCAATACAATATCAAGCAGTCGGGTAGTGAGAATAATGGAAGAAATCATTAGTTGATGCAATATCAAATTCTCAGAGCTAACATAAGAATTGTTCAAGATCACCTTGAACTGGTTTTTTGTTTCCTCAACATGCACAGATTATTTTCTGTCTCAGTGATATAATTATTATAGTGCATGTAACTTACTTCTTTTCATCTGTTGTGTTAAAAACAGGAGAAAGATTGTCCAAATCGCAAAGTGGAGTGTGAATATTGTGAGTTAACTCTTCCTTTCAGTAAAATGAGTTCTCATGTGGAATACTGTGGCAGCAGAACCCAAAAGTGTGATGCATGTCACAGGTTTATTCAAATAAAAGACTTTACTGAACATGAAAACAGCGGGTGTCAATACCCAATCAAAGAGGAAAGTAAACAACTGCCACAGTCTAAGCCAAGACATGAAATTTTCAGTGGTGTACCCGTTGACATGTTTAATGGGATGGGTGAAATAGATTCTTCAGACGCAGAGTACAGATTTAATCCATTTCTTGCCGCTATAAATGGGTTTGGACAGATCCTTACTTCAGGACTTGGAACTCCACCTTTTAGTGATGCACATATGAATCCTAGGGGAGGTGCAGCTCACTATGGTTTTGACGAAAATGGCATGTTTGGAAAACATGGTGTTGTTTCTCGAGGAGCCAGCAAAGGACAAGGTTCCCAAAATCCAGAAGCCGATCATCGTAACTTTCAAGATTTTGATGAGATCAATGATGAATATGCAGTGCACGTTGATGATGATGAAATTCTTGCAGCAGCCTATCAAGCTGATGAGTTTGGATACGTTGATGGAGACAGTGAGTGGATGTCTGCGGCAGAGGTTGACAAGCATGTTCCATACACAAAGTCTACATTACTGCCTGATTCAGGTAATGGCAAGCGCTGTGCTTTGTTGTTGGGTTTAAATGCTCATTTTTCTTCTAAAGAATGTGAACTGTATAGTAAACAATTATTGTTGCAAGCATATGATAGAATTAAGAAACTATGGTGGAAACTGTATTTGGTGGTCACCCTTGGAGATTGGAGGGGTCACAGCTTAATGCAAGTTGACCCCTAAATACAGGTCTTTTCACAGAATAGAGGTTTTATAAAAAACACTAAAAAATCCCACTTTATGCCATAATTGACCACTTAATGGATATAAACTTGCTTAAAAACACTACTAACATTGATTTTGGGAGATAAACATGGATAAATTTTATTAGAAGATTATTCTAAGCTTTATTTGAGTTATTCCACTTTAAGTTGCCCTTCAGTACAGGTGGAAGACTATTCAAAAAGGCTTTTGGGACTCAGTGGAGAATGACCACTACTGCTCAATAGAGGTGACTGCTTGGTAGAGGTGAAAATTACAGTAACAAGGGCAAAAAATTTGGAACTTTAAAAAGCGCTTAGTGCAGTGCAGCTTAATGCAAGCTCAACTGTATTGACAATGGTTTTGATTATTATAAAATTATTATTATTGTGCCATACCTGTATCATTCCAAGGTCATGACAGTGATCTGTTGGAAAATTTTATTGACTAAAGTAAAGAATTCATTCTTTCTCTAGACAATCTAGATAAAACACAGCTGCCCTGTGAGTTTTGTGGTAACTTATTTTCAGTGGAGTCCCTCATACTTCATCAGGTGAGAAAACACTTCAAACACATTGGAGCAAAATTTTAATGAATTACAAAGTAGTCTATGGTCAGTGGGACTCTTGTAGCCTTGTTGCTTAATGGGCAGGAATGTGAGTCAGTAGGTCCAGGCTCAAACCGTGCTCGCATCACTGTGTTGTGTTTTCAGGCAAGGCACTTTCATCCCTCAAAGCCCTCCTCCACTGTTTTGTCTCCCTGAAGACTATAAAATATTTAGCAAGTAATTTTGGGTGGAGACTTCATTTTCTTTTTGCACCATGAACGTGACAACAAATAAATGTGTAATACTAATTCAACTTTCTCTTTGCTGGCTGACTTTTCTCTCTCCTGAGCAAGAACTGTAAAATGCATTTTTTGGGAATCAAAATGTATAACTCCTTGTCCCATAAGACAGGGCATGAAATTGCAACTAATACAAGTGCCAATGCGACTAAATTTTTCACTTTGGCAACCAAATCCTGAAAATTTGTTGCCAAATTGGTAACTAGAATGCTTCATCATATACTTACTTAGAGATGTAGAGAATTAAAAAGATCAGTAAAGATAAATCTGCAGCAAACTTTCTCGTTAAGTTTGTCTCCAAAACGCAGCACATGCATCTCAATCGATAACTAGACGCCAGCTTGGATTTAGGTGAGCTTGAAAGTTGTATATCATCCATTCTAGTGTCCACGTTGTCGCATGTTAAAGATCTTTTTCCTGATTTAATTTCGAAGGGTCTATCTAGAACGCTGACAGCGTAAAAAAAGGTTTTGTTTGTCTTTATAACTGGCGACCAACTTTTTTGAATTGGCTACCACTATGAATAATTTAGGAGCCAAGTGGCTATCAGAAAAAAAAATTAATTTCACGCCCTGTAAGAGTGACTTTCATCTCATTTCTACTTGCACAATCACTCCTGAATCACACTTGTAGGTAACAAGAAAGAAGGAAATGCTTACTAACAACTGTAATGATGCCCTTGATTGTTCAACAAATTCTCCTTTTCAGCACAATAAGAAATGTATTGAAAACAGTATGGAAAATTTGCATTCTGATGTTGGGGTGTAAAGGTATTTATTTGTTGTGGTTTATAGAGTGGTTGTCAGTTGAGATCACTGGATTCAATATCTGGCGTTGCTCCACCTTTTGGCGGTAACCGTAGGAACAGGCATTACCTGCCTCAATATGATGACTCAGTGTATGCTGGGGTAGAGAGAAGGAACTCCTTTGTAAGTTGGATGACTGAGTTGGAAATCTTTTAACCTGCATTAAATTAAGAGAACCAGCTTTTTTGTACTCGAGGAGTCACGTTAGTTGTGTAAAGGGTAACTTAAACTTTTTTGCATTCCAGTGCAGCTGCGAGATTTGGTGGCCCTGTGGTTGACAAAGTGGACTTGGGGTTGAGAAGTCTGGGTTCCAGCCCTGTCTGGTCATTGTGTTTTGTTCTTGGACAAGGCACTTTACTCTTATAAAGCTAATCTTCTCCACCCACGCTAATGTTGATGAGTGAATGGTCAGGGAAGTCTGACAAACTGCTTGCAGCATTTGGCTAACATACTATTCAGGGGGTGTAGCTAGCCACTGAAACTGGGATAGGCTTTGGCAACATGAGCCACTTGGTTCATGAACTAAACTTGACTCACTTGTTGTTAATAAATTCCTCCTGGGGAGATAAGAACCCTCTAAGACTTCCTTGGCTTCCAACGTATGGCTTTGTAACTCACTTGGTAGTTGGGCCCAATCACTGTCTGAGGGGCATGAACACGAATCCCGTTGAAGCCTGAATTTATCCAGGCTTGTTTTCTGCAATGGCTGAAATTGTATTCATCTCGAAGAATTACGAAAAGCTTAAATAACATTGTTCGTTTAGTTTGTCAGGAATGTTTCTTACGGACTGTTAGAAGGCCAAAAAACCTAACTTGCCAAAAATGACATATTTGTTATGTTTTTATCGTTATTTAGGAAAGGGAATTACAAAATAATCGCACAGAGCTTGACAAGAGTGGAAGGAAATGTCCAGGTATGTGATTCGTTTTACGTGAGTTCATTGTCAGAGCAGTCGTCAACTGAGTGTCCAAAAAACTTAATAATCCCAGCAACCAATCAGAACATATGTTTACATCATCACTGGGCAATGAGGACTCAAAGTGAAAACAAGCAAACTGCATGAAGCGCGGGAAAACGCAGGCGACCAAGTCGCGTTTGTTTTGATTTTTTGCTTCCGATTGGTTGAGAGGATGGTGCAGGTTTCCTGGACCAATCACAGAGCAAAGTTGAATAAAAACAAAGCAATCCCGGATTATTTTCGACATTTAATTGAAAATTGCTCTACTTGCGTAACTAAAGTATAATATGACTCTCTTGTTTTGGACAGAAGATGACACACTTTTGCCCTGTGAGTTCTGCCAAGAGTTGTTTCCATTTGACAACCTTATTTTACATCAGGTGGGTGCTAAATGTGTTGCTTGTTAACAGACTGCTGGTTGATTTGAATGAAATTTCACTCAGTTTAACTTAAGCGATACTGAAAGAGCGCTTTGAAATTGACTAAACTGACTTGAAATTGACTTGATTAAACTGACCTGAACCATAGTTATCTCAAAGGCCAATGAGATCCAAGGTAAATATCTCAAGAATAAAGGGGGTAAGTTTCTAAGGAAACTGTGGTGCTGCGTCGGTGGGAGAGTATAGCAAGCTCTGACAAAGGGCTAACGTTCTAAACGGCAGCTTTTTTGCCCTTTACGGTGGCCAATGTCAACACTAAATTACCTGCTAAATATTTCAAGAGGCCGTTGCAAACATAAAATGAAAACTGATCAAATTGGCTGTGAGCCACTGAACTTAGAAGATGAATTCTACTTATATGGATACCACACTTCCCCTCTCAAGCAAGTATGTGGAGCCTGCACTTTCAAGAACAAGGCCGCAAAAGAAACAGCGGTTGCCGCTTATTCTTATGAAAGTGTTTGAACTCGGTTTGATACCGGTTAAAAAGTTGATCAAGGTGATCAACCAAACTAAACAAAACCCAACCCAACCCAACTACAGCACCCCAGTCAACCAACTCTCAAAGGTTGATCGCTATAGAAGATAACCAGAAAGTGAACAAGTTACGAACATTTAAACGTCGCATGTGGCTGGATGAGAGAGTGGCATGAGTTTTTAGAACGAGTTTTAAGAAAAAAGGCTCAACCGAGTTTCGAGAGTTATGCTGGACTTTGCCAGTAATGATTTACTTTGCTCTCTAATTGGTCAAAACAACTCGCACCACTTTCTCAACCAATCAAATCCAAAACTAAAACCAATCGCGACTTGTTCATTCGCATTTTCTCACGCCTCAGGCAGTCTACTTACCACCACTCTTAGTTTTCATGTAGTTGGCTGCTGTGCATAATTTCCGTTCTTCTGATTGACGTTTCAAGTGTTAGATCGAATGACGAAGGGGTAACGCTCGAAGCGTCAACTTTAAAACACTTTAAGGTGGCCATTTTACATTATCAACTCAGATGATAAAACCAAAATTATCTTGTTGTACTTCCCCATTGACGCAGCACCACAGTTTCTTTAGAAGCTTACCCTTTTCTTCTGATTAGCCTTTGCGACTACTTTAGTTTTGGTCGAGGTGTTATGGTTACACGACACTAAATCGAAAAGCGATCTTTAATTAATCATAGAGCGCGGCAAAGCCAAACCGCACTTTTGGAAATTCCATCATTGTAATTGGCCACAAATTCCACTCTCTTAGGCTGTTTGTGACGCAGGTCCAGCAAGCCGTGCTCCTTCGACATTACCCCCTCTCAACAACTCAGCGTTATTCGATGGCTCGACACAAGGACCTCTTCCGAGCAAAACTAGGCCAATTGTAAGAATTGGTTCTAAAAGTCGCCCCAGTAGACCGGTGTACGAATCGAAGAGAAGAAGCCCAAAGTCCTGGGACGATTTTATTCCAGGCGATCTCGACAGCAGAGAGTTGACGCCTGAAAACTCCAGCCCTAAAGTGAATTTTACGCCGGATGACGGCAGGGTGCCAGGAAGAGATGTGAGGCATAAGTCTGAGAAATATAATGATCGAACAAGAGAACCAGACAACGTTCCAATGAATAACGCGCTCAAAAGACCAGAGCGCAAGACGAGAGAATCTCGTCCCATACGCGGTCAGCCGGTGTTAAGAAATAACGACTTGGTTACAAACAAACCTCCAAGGGACTTAGTGCATCATGGTAAAGATCGAATGGTTCACAGCAAGGAGCTAAAAAGACAGCCTGAATCGAGAAGCGATGCCAGCACATTCCACAAGACATCTGCAGCGAGATTGCGAGAGGATGACTCGTATCTGGGAAAAACAAATTCAGGATCCAAGAGTAGTTTGACGACAGAAGTGACAAAACCTCCTGCGGTTCGGCAGATTGAAATCACGGCTCACGTGGTAAGTATAAGCTAACCTACCAAAATTACTGTGTGCATTTGTTCTCATACAATCCAAGCATCATTTACAGAATAGCGGATTCTGCTCACATGGTCAGTACATGCAGCGTTTATTGGCTCTCCCCAAATTTTCAACCAAAACGCGAGATATACCTCTATATTAGTATCCTTAACCCTTATTAAGAAAGTGTGTTTAACAATCAAGAGCTTTTTTAGTTGGTGATTATTTCCTTTATTCTTGAGACCATAATGTTTGATTCCGGGGTTATATTGTATCGGGAATCAAAGGGTGAAAGAAAGAAGTCCGGAATGCAATGCTAAGAAAAGCGTCGAATTTAAAATGTATTTGTTTATTCCTCAAGAATTTCGGGAATTGCTCGACGTTGTTACCGTCTCTTGAGGCACCAGACCTCAACCTTAGCATTCGTTCAGTTTCAAATATAAAATATAATTAATTTGTCCGTGGGTACCCAATCTCAGACTTGACGATTTCACGTTATTAGGGAGTTTAAGAAAACCACGACGGCAACGTCGACGAACCTCATTAATTTAGGGAAAAAGGAACTATTTTCATGTACATTATTTTTCAGAAATATAAAATCGTTCTGTTTTGAGGTTTATTAACATATTTTTTAGATGGCTTCATTATTTTTACCTTCACTCCCAGTTGTGTGACATATCCCTCTTTACAATTTTCAGAAATCCCGTCAAGCAGGAACGGTTAATGAAAGGAGAAGGAGACATTTTGAACACAAAATGGGTATTCAAAACCACAGATCCGAAGAAACACGGAGTAAACTGCGACCTACTGACACAAGCTCGTCCGCCTCGCGAGTATCTACCTCCGTCAGCAATAGAACCAAACCTACCGGGCAACTACCACAATTTAATCAGCCTTCATTCAGTGTTACTGGCTCATCAGCTCAATCATCGTCTTCCTACTCACGTAGAAACCCACCAGCAATTCATTTACCAGAGCGAGAAATTCGCCCCAATAGGGGAAAACCACGCTCTCAAGGACATCCGGAATCTGTTCGACCAAGTAATACCCCAGCTTCCACGGCGCCGAGGAAATCTTCTTCGACGAGAAAGAAAATAGTGTGATGGCCTGGATTAAGCTCCATTTGAAATTGAATATAGACAACATTGTGATACAAAACTTTTAATGTTGAGTATTGTGTTTCGTCTCGTTCGCTTCACAAGGTGGTTAACAATCCATCAGTGTCATTTACAAGTCAACTCTGAATCGAAATGCTTCTGCCCTTTCGATTTAATTACGATTTTTCATAACGATTCAATGTTCATTGGGATATTTTTTTTTTTACTGCAGCTTTCTCTTCAGGGCGAGGACGAATATCTTTTTCCAGTCACTTATTATAATTTGCGAACCTTTCTTCTCACAACTGTTCGTTCATATTATGATTAATACGATACGGGATTATTTAGCACAACCAAACACTATGGGGTGTGTGTGTGTGTGTCTCTTTGATGATGCTACTGGTATTCACCGGCTCATAACTAACACGTGACCAGTTCATGGAATTTTGAAGCTCAGTGGCTAAAGTCGCCAAACTGAAATACAGTGAAACCCGTGTTAAGTGGACCTCGTATTCATCGCCACACTTAGGGATTTTATAGGCTGATCGCTTATTAAAATCGTCAGGTATGCTTAGTAATGCGGTTTTCTCCGATCGCCGAAATCGGTGCATGTAATTACCGATGTCTGCCATGCAAAATATCGGCGATTTTTGCTGGCGAACATATTCGCTGCGATCAGCGTCATGAGAAATTTGTGGCTAATTTTTATGCGCTCACGATTTGGTGTTGCATTTTTTTTAACTTCTGAAGCGGTTATTTCGGGACTTGGGTGTTTATGTATCCACCCGAGAAAGTCAGACTCGAAAAGTTTCTCGATGGTGAATCATCTTGCAAATTACAGAGCCTGTCTTCCGCGGTCACCACTCGTAAGTGAGTCTCGCGAGTGAGTCCCGCGAGTGTCCGCTTATTTCAAGTTTCACTGTAATTTATGGCGCATTGTTTGTTATTGATAATTGTACAATTTTTTTTAAGAGGGTTGGGGGTCTGGTAATGTTGAAACGAAAAAAAGGGAAAATGGTTCCCGCACAAAGTGCAGAATTTTAAGGCTTGTTTCGACCGCTTTGAGCAATTCTGATGTATAAAAGCCTACAATAATTACCTTTTGTATAAGTGACGTCAAACTCATTAAAAAACCTTCGCATTCGATGCAGGTATTTTTTGATTGAAGTGTTTCCATCAACCAAGCTAGGTTTTGGTGGAAAACACGATTCATATTTCTTTGTAATAAGAAAAGACAAAGTAGGTTGTTTAGTCCGAAGGAACACGTACAGAGTACGCTACAGAATTCCTGTAGTATTTCTGTACTCTCTTTGTAGTTGTTAGCGTGCTAATGATAATTAAAAACTTTTTGAAATAAATTCTTAGAATACGCTGACAAAGTTGTAAAGTTCGATTTTGCTGTTGCTCCATGAAGGGGATGTTTCTAAAAATAGAAAATTGTAATCAATATTAATTGTCCCATGTAATTTTCGGATCAATATCAGTATCTGGGCAACTGTCCACCTACCCCTCCCCTAACCCACCAACAGTCAATTGATAACAAATTAGGGTTAATGTAGGGTTAGGGGAGGGGTAGGTGGGCAGTTGCCCAGTTATTGATATTTAATTTTCTTTAGTTGTATATGCAAATTGACGACCAGACTCTGAGCGTTGGATTCCTAACGATTGTCGTGCAGTCGACTAGGGTGAAGCCCAAATTAACTATCACACATAGAAATGAGCCAATTGAACAGAGTAATTTTCAGTGATTGTCAAAAGTATTCCGGGGTTCCATTGATTATTCTTCCCCTAGCTCTGTGATTGGTCCAGAAAACCTGCACCACTCTCAAACAGTCAAATGCAAAACTGAAACCAATCACGACCTATTCACCCGCGTCTTTCCACGCTTTAGCCTTAATTTTCCTTTGAGTTATGATTGGCTTTTTTGAGATATTTTCCTGATTTCTGATTGGCCGTCGTGACTGCATTGGCTTCAGTTTATTACTGCATTGGCTTAAGGCTTGATTTACTTTGAGTACTGATTGGGGTTTTTTGATATATTTTCCTGATTTCTGATTGGCCGTCGTGACTGCTTTGGTTTCATTTTCACGACAATCGAAAAGTGCTCTGATCTAATTGTTTTGGTTTAGTCGTTCAAAACCTATCAACCATATGAGGTTATTTTGTCATGTTTACAATCGCACACTGGAGGGCGTTTCGCTTTACTCATTCTATTGCAGTATGGATTTATTAGCATTCTATCACAAATGCTGCAATGTGATTGGCTAAACCACTCGCTATCTATTCGTGATTATTCGTGATATATAGAGTAGAGTAAGTAGCCTAACATAGTGAAGTTGAAGACAAAATAAATGATCAACATGAGCCTATCCTGTTGTCAAGTTTTGAATGATCGGTTGATTTATACTAAAAAAAATATTCGCTCTTGATTTCCTTGCTCGATAATTGAGTTTCACTTTGTTGAGTTGATAATCTTATTGTTATGTTGCAGTGATTGGTGTAGTCAATCAAATTGAACCAACTGTGTTAGACCGCCTGTAGATTTACACATATTTGTGGTACTGGGCTCTAGGTTAGCCTGCACGAATGCTGTAAGTTATTAGCCAGCGTTTCTAAGCCTGCGATCTGAGTCCTTGAGCATGGCGAGCCAACGAAAGGTTTGCCAGGGGTCTGGCACTAATAGTGCCACTAACAGAGCCAGACCCCCGACTAACCTTACCCATGACTCGTCTCGAAGATTCTCGCTGACGGAGAAACCCGCGTCGTACAGCACTAATATTGAGGGCTTAGGGTAAGGACTCCACTTTGAGGCGGACCTCACTTAATATTCCTGTCGATACTCGTCCCAGGGCCTTGCTTCTCTACCCGGCAACGAAGACGAAAAAAAAGGGCCTAGGATTTGATGAGTATGTTAATTAAGTGATTTCGAGGCTATGGCTTAAAAAAGTCAAGTTTAGGTTTTGCAGTACTTCGATCAATAATTTACGATAGCAACTTTGTAACGGAACCTATGGGATAATTTTTTCGCAGTTGTCAACTGGTCGTACATATTTACACACATTTTTATTCTACGCACCTGTTACTGGAGTAACTACGTCATTGTTTGTACATAATTTTCAACAGTCAATCTTATCATTCCTGGACTCTCCTCGATTATTTTTGCCTATTAATAGCTTTTTGGCGATTTTCTTCTCTGCCAAACCATTATTTAGACTGCTTTCCAGTTAATGCGAATTTTCAACAAAACCGAATGGGGGGAAAAAATCAGTGAAAATTTGTGACCTAGCACTTAAATGCCCCTTCTTGCAGTCCAACTGATGTCACCTTTTTTTTTATTTAAGGTAAGTCGGAATTTAAGGTTGAGTCAAAAAATATTTTTAGAGGAAAGCGACTGAGCATAATTTTCCATCAGTTCAGTGTATTGTCAAGATTTGTAGCCAGCGATTCACGAAGTGAAGTTGTCACCTGCACAACCTGTTGCCACTGTTTGCTCAGACGTTTCAAGGCATCAGGAATTAATTTTTTTTCATTTCTTATTTTAAACAACTTAGAACGGTTCAACAGATCGAAATGAAAACGAAATAGGAAAATCGCGGCCTGGCTGATCAGTAAGATGGGATGAGAGAAGATTCTTTGCAAAAGAATGAGGAGTTGTTTTGATTTTAAATTTGTGCGCAAAACTACTTCCATCATGTGGTAGATCACCGCGGAAAACACAAAGTATGTCTGCCGTTGACAAAGATGGTTACCTTCTCAGACAACAAAGAAGTCACAATTCTTCTTCCTACGGACATTTTCGGACGATTTTTATTTCCAGTGGTCTTAGTTGTTTGATGACAGTTTTGATTATTTCGTTCTTATTACGAAACACCGCGTTTGTTAACATCTATATCCCGAATTCGGCTTCATCTCAGACAAACAAACATGATCAGGAGCGACGATCCTATGCCAAGAATGTGGAGCTAGTGATGTTACCTTTCGCTGTCAAACAAGGTGCAGTCTGCCTAGACGGATCACCCCCCGGATATTACTTCAGACAAGGACATGGCGCAGGGGGTAATAACTGGATTATTCACTTCTTCGGTGGAGCATGGTGTTTTGACGAGGAATCCTGTCTTCAACGCAGTAAAACGCGATTGGGATCAAGTAATTTCTTTCCGCCCCATCCTCCAACACTGCAAGGAATCCTCTCCGACAACGACAAAATTAACCCGGATTTCTACGATTGGAACTTAGTTCTGTTGTGTTATTGTGACGGAGCTTCTTTTACTGGTTATCGGTCAGATCCAGTTAATGTAAACGGACAGTATATCTATATGCGTGGCAAAAAAATTCTGGAGGTGATCATTGATCAGTTATTGCAAAGCGAATTTCGAAATGCAAAGCGCTTACTCCTCAGTGGGACTTCCGCCGGAAGTTTAGCAGTGACGATGAACGCCGACTTCGTTCGGAGTCGTATTCCTAAATCGATAGATGTTCGTGCACTGGTCGATTCGGGTTACTTTGTCGATGTAGCAGCACTGAGTGGTGAGGACATGATCAACAAGCATTTTAAGGAGATGTTTGATGTGCACAACTCCGTTGGTGGCGTTGACGAAGATTGTGCGAGAGGTTTTCGGCCGTCACTCCGTTGGAAATGTTTATTTCCCCAACATGCTTTTAACTTCGTAAGCACGCCTCTTTTTGTGCTGCAATCGGCATATGACGAGTGGCAACTGATCCACATTCGCGGAATCAACTGCCAGGTTCCTGACTACAGCGATAATTTCACCACAAAACGAAGTCTTTTTCGTAGATCTACCAAAGACACCATTTCTCCGAGTAAGCCCAGCCCAGATCGTAACTGGAACTACAAACACATTCACGGCATTTATTGCAGGCCGCCAGAATGCACGCGTAATGAAATGGCAGCAATTATGCAATACAGGAATGTGAGTCTGTTTGCATTGCGCCCAGTGCTACGTTCACCCAATTCAGGTTTATTTTTAAGCTCGTGTTTAGAACATTCGCAGAGCTTGTATGATGATACTTGGACTGGAATCTTTGTGAATGGTTTTAGCGTTGCTGAGGCTGTTGGAAACTGGATGTTCGAGCGGACGACAGAACATCAACATATTGACTGTGCTTTTCCCTGTAATCCATCGTGCGCTAATGTCTGGTGAAATTTTAGGTTTAGGATTCTATAAATTTTCTCATTTCTCAAAAGGTGAGAAGAGATAGAGCGAGCATTGACTGAGTGTCGCAAAAAAAGACCAACGTTATGTTATCAAAGCGACCAATCAAAATAAAGAAAAAAATTACAAGGAACCAATGAGCACTCAAAGTAAAAACAAACAACTTTTAGAAGGGCGGGAAAACGCAAGTTGCTAAGTCGCGATTGGTCTTAGTCTTGGATGTGATTGGTCGAAAGAATGGTGCGATCGTGCAGGTTTTCTTGACCAATCGCAAAGCCAAATCCAGGGAAACCAATGCTAACTTTCGATGCTCCCTTAAAAATTACTCCAAAAAAAGTGAAAAAGAAGGAAAGTTCTTGCACAGTTTATCATAACAGTCATTCATGGGTGAATGAGTAAGTTTACTTAAGATAGAGGATGACATGAGACACATTTCAATGTATATGTACAGTACGCACAGAACAAGCACCCTGTAGTGCTAACTTTTAAAGCGGCTCAAACCATCTCTGGTTTTTAAATTAAATTTTCCTTTGACCATCTTGTGTATTACGCTTACAATTTTACCCCTAAAGCTTCTAGATTTTACCAGTTAGAAAGGTCGTAGTCTTGCTGGTGTCGAAATGAATCATTTCCTTGAGGAGCCTTTATGAGTGATTAAGGTTTGTGAAAAAAATGGGTCGTAGTGTCCTCACCCTCCTAAATGAAAAAGTAATTATTGCACGTCTCTTTTTTCCGTTAAACGTCAGAAAGTCACCTAATGCATGCCTCTGGTACTCTGCGTCTTCTCGAGAAAGTGATCTACTCTACAAACTCCACTCTGCCTCCCGTATGCACCAGACGCCACTTTATCTAGAGGGTGGCAGATGGTTTATACGTGACGCCTGATTAAACCCTATTCTCTTTTGACTTCGTGATGTGTGAAATACTGTTAAAATGACAAGTGACAGACGCGTGAATTTTTCCAAAACTTCGTGCATCATCCCACACCCTCCCCTTCCCCTTTTTTCGTCACCGTCTATTTACACCAGCTCAAACTGCACGCACGTTTTTCTACGCATCACTCACAACTTAGTAAATTTCCTTGATAAATCCAAGGGCTTATTAGATTATCGCAAATTGTTCCATCAAACGATCTCATTGTAATCGTAAACGAAAGCTGTGCGACAAATGTTTCCTTGGTCATCTTCAACAAGGAGAGTTGAGGCTTGGTCCCTCACTTCTGATCTGGACAGGGTGAATGTGTTGGGTGGGTGTGGTTGTAGGAATTCCCAGTGTTGGTACACTTCACTGTGTTTCTTGTCCCAGAGCTCAATCAGCCTTATCCCGAGAGGTGCTTCTACAACTAATTGGTCTGCCTCATCCGTTGGTGTTATTTCTTTGTCTGAATCACTAAAAATTACAATGCAGAGTTAAATAGAGATAGTACATATGGCTTACTGACCAACTTTAACCCTTGACACCCTTACATCAGTATACATATTCTCCATACTGTTCTACATACATTTAAAAAAAGGCTGATAAGGAGAATTTGTTTAACAATCAAGAGCTGCTTTAGTAGGTGATCATCTCCACTATTCTCATGACTTTCAAGTTTGATTCAGGGGTGATATGGTAAGGAGAATTTTGATGCTAGTCACTATTAGGGGATAAAGGGTTAACTGGGAGACGCGGCAGCCTTAGGGTTAGTGCGCTGGAGTCTGGGTCTAGCGATCCGAGTTCAAGAACTAACCAGGTTACCGTGTTGTGTTCTTAGGAAAAACACTTTACTCTTACAGAGCTTCTCTCTACCCAGCAGTATCAATGCGTACTGGCAAATTGTCTGGGAAGCCTGGTCAAATGGAAGTGGGTAATCTTGGGGTAATCTTGCAATGTTTGGGTGGGAATACAGGTTTTTCCTTTACCTTTGCCGTATACTCACATTTCTTAAGACTTCCCAAAAAGATGAACCTTGATGCTAGTTGCAGTTTAGTAATAAAACATTGGGGGTCACCCGAATTGTTTTTGAGTTGCAGGCACATCAAGCCGAAATAAGGTGAGGGTCAGATTTGCTTTGATAGCTTAGGGTGCCAAAAACATGGCCAGAACATGTTCAGAAATAATTGGGAATTTTTTTTATGCTTTATTCAAAGACACAAAGTAAAAATTTACGGAAGCCACAGTCCTCTAGGGAATTGGTGTTTAAAAAAATATAACTCATACTGAGCTGCCTTGACTGAGAAAAATGTCCACTTTCACAAAAACATACACTATGAAAATGAACAAAAGATGGTAATATTGCTACATTAAGGTACTATTTTGCCACACCGGTGGATGAGAGAGAAAAAACACAACTTATTTGGTCCAATTTTCCTGCTCAAGAGGGGGGACAGTGACAGAAGGTTGGTTGCTCAAGTGGAGCACCTCCATAGTGGAGTCTAACCCCTTTACACCATAACATTAGTATGCATATTCTCCATACTGTTCTCTATACATTTTTAACTTGCTGACAAGGAGAACTTGTTTAACAATCAAGAGCTTCTTCTTTAGTTGGTGATCATTTCCTTTATTCTCATGACCTTAATGTGTGACTCAAGGGTGGTATGTTGGGAGAACTTAGATGAGAGTCACTCTAAGGGGTTAGAGGGTTGAAAGAGATGACAAACTGTTAAGAAGGAGGACGAGAAGATTCTAAGAAGGAGATTATCATCCCTCTAAGGGGTTAGAGGGTTGAAAGAGATGACAAACTGTTAAGAAGGAGGACGAGAAGATTCTAAGAAGGAGATTATCATACCTAACAATTGCTTTTTATCAAATAAACACAAACAAACCTGCTAAGCAGGATTCCAAGTGATCCAACATACATTCCACTTGTTCCCATGAGACCCAGAATGTTTTTCCCAAGGGAGGGTCTCAGGCAGCATTCATCCCCACCCATTCCTCCCATCCAAACACTGGATTTGTAGTTTGTGTGGAATCTAATGGCATCAATCCATCCCCCAGCTCTGACATCAACAGCTGTGATGTATTCCTCTGGAGAGTTGACGGTGAAGATATAGCGCTTACCCATGCCATCTGTTCCATGGGGCTCAGAGAGAACTTCCTGACACTCCCCTGGATCAAAACACAAGAAAAGCAAATCAGCAAAGGATTCAAGATCCTGCTTTAGGAATACATTACTAGTTCCATGGCAATCAGGTTGTCACTTAAATTATTCCTGATTCACAAGGTTTCATTACGTACTGTCCATACATAGAAATTGGAGAATTCTCCAACATCCATGCTAAATTATCAATCTAAATTTTGACTGCTTCAGTTATCTTTCATTCAGACATGGAGGAAACTATCCTGTTACTTAACACAATTCTCGTGCTATCTCATTTCTTGATGACAGCCATGGATTCATTATGTAAATTACATGAGAAAGAAACAAATGATTGTTGACTTAGTTACATTATTCCACTAGAAAAAAAAACAAACTGTTAGGAAAGAATTACTGATCAAGAGAGAAACAAGAGAGTATTGTGTTCATCATTTTCAATTAACCCTTTTGCTCCTTAGATCTCACTGCAATTACCATGCAGTTCTTATGATGTTGGTTCTAAGAATTTGGTATTGGATCAACTAACAACCCCCTCGTTGTTATTTTTATTTATTCTCATCACTTGGTCTGCCTGATATTAGACAAGTATTGAAATCACGAGTAGAAATTATCTCTCAGTCACTCTTAGAAGTCATTCATTAACCATACCACTTTCTGCATTTTCTTGATTCCCTATGATCTGTATACAATTCACATACTCCTCCGTGTGAATAATGAAACCCCCCAGAACTGCACTCTGGGACTCAAGCCACTTGACACTGTTGAATGACAACTGATTCTTCTGATGACAGCCACCGCAATTACCGACAGGACCACAGACAGTGCTTGACCAGTGTACCATGGGTTTTTTAGAGGGAATGTCATCCTCTTTCATGCTCAAAGTGGAGAACCATCTGAAAAAGCAAAGCACAAGCTATTCATTTTCTAAGATCCAATCAGCAATTCTATTTTCTAGCTCCTAGATACTTTCCTTCTAAATAATTATGAGAATTTGGTTTTTACATCAAGACAGTACCCTCCACCTGATCCTAACACCAGTTCGCTGAGTACTGTTTTGAGAAAGTGAGCAGAAGTTGCTACTAAAACATTTTAAAGAGTTCAAAGTTAAAGTGTATAATGGTGTAGATAAGTATAAGTTTTGGCAATAGTCCATTTTACAGTTGTGTGCTTGGTTGCCAAGCCTTTTAACAGGAGTGAGGCTAAGGATGAACTTGTTATTATGATACAAACCTTGCTGCTCTACAAATGTAAATTGCTTTGTTGTCATGCTAACTAGTTACTGGTCTCTATCACAGCAAGGTCACCTTCAGCCTCACTCCAAATCAAAGGCTTGGTAACTTAGTACTCCACTGTAAAATAGCCTATTCAATGAATGCAGCTTGTGAAAGTGCAGATTTCATTCTATGTGCTATCTCTCCCTCATGCTCCTGTAGGAATACTCCACCCAAGGTTACACTTTTTCCCAAATCAACTCATACCATCACATGATATTATGGTGCTACAACTAAGAAGACACAGCACCTAGAATAGTTATTATTAAGAGGTATCCTGATTATGATACTATTAGAAATCATACTTAAATAACCTTCATCAAGTTACCCCTTGGGCATATCTATCACCAAAGGTCAAAGAAAATTCAATGGAAACACGATAACTTCAGTTGTATGTACTACTGAATCTTACTTGTGATATCTGAGTAAAACAGCAGAGGATCTGTACCAGTGTGCACCATGTGACCATTCATTGGGTCCAGCAAGGTCAGTGTTTCCACCAGAGGGACTGGCAGTACAGCTTTTTGATTTGGGCACAAGACCTTCAGCACCTGGGATTCCTGTAGCTAACACTTCAACAGCAGTCATGGCTTTGTTAGCAACCTTTTCCTCAATAACTGAAGACAGAGGTGCGCAGACAGTTGATTATAAACTTTAAATAATATATTAAGTTCTATTATTGGTATTCAAATCCGAAACTGAACAGTAACTTTCTAGGAGTGTTTACAATTCTGATAAGTGATTGGAATCTAAATTTTAAAACCTTTTTATCAATGATAATACCAATGAAGCATTTCCATTCTTCCATATCCACTAGCTTAGTGCACTTTACAACATTTGCAAGAGACTATGGCCAGATTGCATTAAGCAGTTGACAATTCATTGAAAGCATTTCAAAGACCCCTAATTTTGGAATCAGACCACCACACCAGAAGCTACATTGCCTACTCTTTCCGAGAAGTGTATGCCTGGGTTCTTTAACATCCCCTGCACTCTGTTTTTTAACTAGGGTGGTTAATCCTTTAAAAAACATCAGTAGTACATGTAATTTTTAATAATCATTGAAAGTACCAAGAAATTTACTACTGTTTGGTTCTTGAAATGAAAACTGGAAATTTTAAACACATAGAAGACTGAACATTACAAACAGTCTCACTTTCCAGCTTTATTCAATGGATGTAAAAAACAAAACAAAAAAAACAACAACAACACAGATACATGTTTGTGGTATGCAAAAACATTCAATGGATGTAAAAAAGCAGATATGGAAATTTCAAGCTGCTTGAAAAGCACAATTGTTAGGAGAAATTAAAAAAATAATTCATGAAATATTGTAAATGGGAAATTTTCTCCCCTGACCTGACTTTTCCACAGGTACAGTGTCCTTTTCTGGAGATGTTGGTTGCCTCCACATGGTAAACACACAGTTCATATCATCAAATCCTCTTGCCATAATACCTTTAGGTGTGTGCGCTAGATCAAAGCAGTGACCAAGTTCATGTATAGAGGCACCCAAACCAGTGGCATAATTTGCCCAATAAGTTCCTCTGAAAAGAATGTAACAAATATTAACCCTTCTATTCCCAGGAATGACCAACAAAGAATTCCTCTTCATAATACCATAAATTTTCAAGCAGAAAGGTAATGAAAAGAAAAAATATTACTGACAAGGGAATATTGCTTAACTCAAAATAAAATTCTCAGAACTAGAATCATAAGCAACAAATGGGGAACAGTAAAGAGAATTATTATTTAGATCTTTTGAATGAAAGGGTTAACTTTCATTCCTTTTGGGGAGTTCCATAATGGTAAAAACAAACATTGAGATATATATACCACTGCAAAATTTTCCAAATTAATGACCAATGTTCTAACATTGTTATGTTATGCCATGTTTACAGGCAAGATTAATTTAATCTGTCACTTAAATCCCAGAATGTATTATTTTCCTCTAACTTACAGTTTACTGTAACAGTTGGTACCATGCAAGTTGATGTTAATGTTGAAATTTTGTTTCTGTATTTCTGTTCAGTCTTATTCACTCCACATTCATTGATTGTATTCTATTCTCAGGGAGCGGGGGGAGGAGAAGGGGAAGAGGGCTGAAGGATTTTGGTTGTGTTACATTGAAATTTACCTGATTCCCCCTAAGTCTCTGTACAATAGTACAGAAGTATTCTGAATAAATGATCACCCCCCCCCCCCAAGGCAGCCAATTTTCTATTTTCCCCCCTTTACTGGTATACTCTGTTAGTGAAGACAAATTGCTCCTCTGTCCCCTCCAGTGAAAATCATGCGATCCCTCAAAATCCCCCACCCCCACTTCCCAGCAGATAAAAAATGATTGATCAGTTGACCCAAGTAGTGCTATTTTTTTCCAAGAAATTCTTTGAATGGTGACATCAATGATAGCCAGGATAACAATGGGCTATGATTTATTGCATATGTTGAACTTACCTCCCGCCACTGTCATCAAAGAGCTGTAATTTGTCAATTATCCGTCCATCAGTAAAACATGGCACCAACTCTTCAATACTTGAGGCCCAAGTGTGTAGCCCTCCTGTACCAAAGAGAGCAAGGTGACTCCCTCCAAGAGCTGTGTGAGCTTTGATGTACTTTGTAATAAGCTTTGCATTAAACAGATCTGGGGAAGGTGGATCATAATGTGTGCAGGACATGAAAGTCCAAAACTTACACAAGGGATCAAAGAGGCTTGATGACTTAAGCTCTGAAAAATAACATGAACAATGACTATAACTTTCATTCAGCTGATATGCTTAACCCTTTAACTCCTAAGATCTGATTGTTAATTCTCCCCTCTAGCTGCTACACATTTTCCAGTTAATTAGTTACATGAATTTGGTATTAGATCAAGATAATAACTTCTACCTGATGATTTTGAGTATTCTCATTACCTGTTTGCTGGACAATGTATGGTATTTATGGGGAGAAATTACATGTGAATCACTTCTGGGAGTTAAAGGGTTAAATACCTCAAGACAAATTTTAACATGGTAACAAAGTCACTGCATGTGATGAAAAAAAAATTATATATAAGAGAACTTACTAAAACAAGCAGAACAGGATGATCTGTTAGCTCCATACATGTATATCCTTACCCTTGTTGAAAAAAGCATACAGCTGATCTCCTGTCATACCAAGAGCTTCACAAGTCTTCAATTTACTGGTAAAGATATGAACCTTAGGTGACCCAGTGTCATCTTCCTCAATGCAGAATGTCTTGTGTCCTAGACCATGTTGGTACAAACTTTCAGCCGTAAATGTTTGAAGAAGTCGGGAATTAAAAGCAAGTCTCTTAACCGCAGAATCTACATTGCATGGAACATTTGCAGGAGCATCAAATGATCCATCACTATCAGTGCACTTGATGTACACTACACGAACAAATCTGTCAAAGAATGGATTAGGTCATCATCATCATTAACTTCATCATCATCATTTATTAGCCACTTTAGATATAATATTTATACAGGTTTAACAGTATGGTAGGGCAAGGAGACCTCCAAGAAACCACCAGGCTTATAGGGCTGGCCACTTTAGTTGTCAATATGTTAGTGATTGTGGATGTGGATGTGCGGCTTGACCAAGGCAGGTCAAGTCTTCTTAGGACATTGTAGCACATAACCATCTACGCTTTAAACCCTTTGACTGCTAGGAGTGACCAGCTTCTAATTTCTCCCTACAGTATCATTCTTGAATCAAATGAAAAGGTCATGAGAATAAAGGAAATGATCACCAATTTAAGAAGCTTCTGATTGTTAAACAATGATATGCTATAAAATGCTATATAAGGGATGGCAGGTGTCCTGTGATGGACTGGCATTACAGTCAGGACAAGTAGCAGTCTTAGGTGCAGTGAGGTGTAATGGCAGTTAGAGACCACATAGCCTCCAATTTAACTCTCTGCCCCTGTCTGCAGAGTATGGTAGATGCACACACCACTTTTTTTCTTTGTCACAATACATTTTACACTGCAGAATTTCCTTTGCATGCACAAGATGTCATTGAGTTTTGCCATACCATGCATACTGGCCTCCGTCCATTGTGGTAAAACAAAGAGCCTTGCTTAAAAATTAAAAGAGTAACAAGCATACCTTGATATTGTGACTGGTATGTATGTTAACTTGAACTCAAGTTCATTTAAGTCTGTTCTATCCGGCACTTTCAACACAATCAAGTTTTCCCCAATGTTAAGAGGAACAACTGCCTTGAAACCTTTACAAACCACAGGCCACGACAATTCGTGATTGCCACATCTAATCAGTATAGAAAAACCATCTTGATAAACTTCTAATTCATTCTCAATCAATGTTGAATCCAGAGCTCGAATCTTATTTCTCCTCTCTGATTCAGAGTCACTTGATGTATCTAAACTAGTATTAGACACTCGACGGATTCTTTTAGGTCCAGATGTTTCGCTATTTGGACATATTATCCCCTCTAATAGCACTAGAGGGTAGCAAACAGTTTCGCCCTGAAAATGATTCAAAACGCAAATTTCTTGATCAGTTTTTTCCATTTCTTCCCTTGCCATTTAAAACCACTGCTGTAATAACTTTGACACGATGGTGAACTTGTACAGGTTCGGTTTTCGTCTCCTCCTGAATACTTTTTGCAAAGTATGATTACTTCGTTGTTCGTGTTTTCTTCCTAGATGTAACACATTAAAGGTATTTCTTCAGATCAGGAAGTAGTCAACAAATCTGACAATGGATAACCAAAGATAGATATTCCCAAAAATTCCCAACTCCCTTTAAGCAGTTCAGCTCATCCGTGACGTGTATATTACCATGCTGTTGAAAATGACATCGAAATAGTCGATGCCTACTGGTTCCTAGGTGATTTCTATTTCTTAGAATATATGCATCATTCGTCCGCCATGTTGAAAAACGTCGTTTCCAGTCCTTTCTCAGCCAAACTGTGTCAACTGATCACCTGATCCACGTCACTGGTTAGTTATCGTCCTCCATTAGTGTCTTGGCGCTGGTTACAGCAGCCCAGTTAGCTTTCGTTACTACTTTTATTTCCACTGCAAAGTCCCTGTAAGGGACACAATACCTGTGTTACAAGGGAGCAAACGTTCCCTTGTTGTTTTTTGTATATTTTTAACTCAAAATTTTTCAAAACCTTGGACACAAACAACGAAAAACTACCACCTCAGTTTCGTCAGGTTCATTATGGCTTTGTGAGAATTTTGCGCCATGTTTATGCAAGAATTGGTCGAAAACGTCTTTTCTCCTGTTGGAGTGACCGTTTGTTGCGTTTCAGTTTTTAATTCAAAGCTTCACAGAACAGAAATTTGGGCAGTGGATGAGCAAGGAGTGCGAGGAGATGGAAGGAAGAGCTGCTACCCCGAAAGGAGTAGTTCCTTCTTCACAGCCGAATGGAAAGGAGCCAGGTACCGAAATAATGTACATCAGAATACTTGTACAATTGTTTTGTTATTTAACATTGGTTACAAAGGCCATAAATTGTATTTGAATCTTTAACGCTTTGATTTACTTCGCATGTGGGAAGGTTTTCGAAATAGTTTCTGGTTGGATATGGTTTGCGAAATTAAATTTAGGCTATATGTAACGAATTTAGCTTACGTTTGTTGAACCTTGTCAAGTTATGTCTGGAACATATAATGGGTCTAAATACTGTTGAGCAGTTTTAGAGACGTGCTTGTTAGCTTGGAAACCTAAATTATTTTATTCTCCGATATCTCTATCTCACGAGTGATTGTTTACGTGTTGCGACTCTCAGTTCGTCTACTGCTACTCAACGAAGAAACAGACAGGTGTCGTAAAGAGACTGTACTGATTTCCTTTTTGCGTGTATTGTCTCAACATTCGTTAGGAATTTCCTCTAGCCTTGATTAAGAATGATGCGAAAGAGCTGTGAAGCAGGATATTTTAAACGCAATTTTTGCAAAAATGGTTTCAAGTAGCTTTGATTTGTTTATGTTTAATTTGGTCGCTGATCAGGGCAAATGTTGCCTACAGTAAGTTCCAAGGCTCAAAACAATGTCTAGGCTGGCACTGGTCAAGTTGTCCCATCAAACCTAATTTTGCTTGAAACCACCCCATGACCTGGAGCCAAAGATTTACCCATCACGCCCTCCCACTTACTCAGTAAGGACATTTTATGACCAATAACTCATTGTATTCTTTCAGCCCAGAGAAATAAAGGTAACTGGAGAGGTAGAAATAGAAGAGGATACAACAGTGGTAGATATCCCAATCAAGACCGTTATAGACAACAGAGAGACTCGTATGATAAGAGAGATGGGTTCAATCAACCACAGAGGCGTGGAGCTATGCCAGACAGGAGGCCCCCCACAAGAAGTTTCTATCAGTCTGGTGTAGATTCAAAAAGGGTAAACATGCTTACTTTTGACTTTTTATTTTTTTTAAAGATTGCTTTGAGACAATTTGGTGTGTAAGACAACCTTTTGCTTCTGGGTATGATGTGCTAGTTTTAAAAGGAAGTATGTTGGCCAAAGCTTGTATGAAACCCAGAAATCTCATGAAAATAAATAAATTTGCATACTTATTATTCAGAAAAAAGGAGGTGTGGTGAGGTAAGGGAGGTGTAACAAGAGCTTAATTACTTTGGCCTTGGAAATTGGTGGCTGTTCAACTCAGGCCACATGTTTGAATCACAACCTTGAATCTACCAAATTAAAATGATAATGGATGAGAAGTATGTGGAAAAAGGTTTGAATCCGTACAGGTTGTTGCATGGTAGTATTCAGGCTCTTATTCATGACATCTCATTCTCCTAGGAGTCTGTCTCAGATGCACTAGAAGACTATCCAGTCACTGGTACTACTGCTGGGTCGAAAAAGTATGGCATGTCACTCAATCACCTTTTGAACTTCAAATATGCACCTAGGGAAAAGCCCCTCGCTTATCTCCCCAGAAATGGTCGCAAAAAGTACACTCCATTCAATAAAGAACAGTTCATCCAAGCTAAGTGAGTATATATTTCATATTGGATGTTTTGGTGTATAGTATCACTGAGTATTTTTACAAGTTGTGCTAAATAAATAACCAATGGCCCAAATAACCATGCAATATCGAAGGATATTTGTACTCTATTTGCATGTTATTTTTACTCGACTTTGTGCAGTTGGACAATAACTGTGATGACTTCAAATGTTTCAAATTGATTCAGCTACTCCAGGAAACTCTTTTTCAAGGTAGTTTGATCAAGGGTCAGTGATTATTAACAACAATAGAACTAACTGTAGAAGGGAAAAAAGAAACAGCCACAGCAAAATGGCTTAGTGCTCACTCATCTGGTTAGAACCCTTGAAGTTTCAAATTTTATTGTTCATTATTATTTTCTAGCTTTCAGTTTGTAGTGTCTGATTCTGGTGATTATGAAATTCATGCCATGGACCCTGATGTGCTTGTGGACTGGGATTTGATAGAACAAGTGGTGAGTTCATTACATCATAACTTTTATAATTTCTTCCTAAAATCATCTGACAAGTGTAAAAATTTATTTATGCAGATTATTTTGTTAATGTTATCAATTTATCTTGATTTATTTTCACAGCGAATCTTAAGCCATGAGGTGCCATCATGCCCCATCTGTTTATATCCCCCTGTTGCAGGTAGATGTGATACTGTTTAACAAATTAATTGACTTTAAACAGGTACATATTAAGTTAAGAAGAAAATGTCTTAAAATACAATGAAAGGTTATGTTGATGAGCCCTTCCCTAAAATTTGAATAGATTTGCCAAGATGTTGAGGTTTTGTAACAGTATTTGTCTCAACATCAACATCAACATCCCCAAAAATTTGAGTAGATTTGTCAAGTTGCTGAGATGACATGATAGTATTTATCTCAACATCAACATCCCTAAAATTTGAATAGATTTGCCAAGATGCTGAGGTTATGTAATGATATAGGTCTCAACATCAAAAATCTTTTTTAGGTTATTGTAATCTTAATGGATTTCACTGTCTGTTTTTTAGCTAAGATAACCCGATGTGGCCATATCTACTGCTGGTCTTGTATCCTTCATTACTTAAGTCTGGTAAGTGTTTGGTGATACCCATGACTTTTTAAACCTTAACTCCCAGGAGTGACAAAGACCTAATTTCTCCTTACAATATCAATACATCAATAAGCACACAAGTAATGAGATTAAATGAAAACATCAGTCAAAGCATTATTAGTTGATTCAATATTGAATTCTCTAAACTAACCTCATGATAATCATATGGTAGACATAAAGGATAATTATTAATGAGATATTGGGAGTGAATGGGTTAATACTCTGAAGTTACTTTTTCTCACATGCATTATAGATGATAACTAGCACACTAAATTACATTTCCTCAAAGCACAAAGGAACCATGAGATCTGGCACTGTCCTGGAGGGAGATATCCTAGTCTCTTGCCAAAGGAACCTAGCACATTTGCCATAGACATACCCATTCCAATTCCCTGGTGGTGGACAACGCTTTGACAGTTTTTCCTTAGAAAACATAATGAACCTAATCAGAAACTGTTAAATTTCATTGTAATGATGCTGTGTGGGGTTAAAACTATAGGACTGCTAGTTATTTTAGGATAATACAGGGAGGTAACCCTTTCACTAGAAAAGAATTTTCTCCTCACATTGTTAATAAATTTTCAAGCAGAAGTGTCAAAAGAATGAAGAGAAAAGCAAGTTAGGGATGATCTCTGATTGGAAGCTTAATTCTCAGATCCAAAATTATAAGAAAGGTAGAACAGACAGTGCAGAGAAAAAAATATTTAGATCTTGGGACTGCAAGGGTTAAAAGATAAATAACTCAATTTAAAACTTGCTTCAACAGAGCGACAACTCTTGGCACAAGTGTCCCATTTGTTTTGAAGCTGTCTATAAAAATAACTTGAAGAGGTACAATAATATTATCCAAGCCCAAAGTAGTGATGAATGTGATGTCCTATAATCAAACTTTTTGTGTATTAAAGTTTCTTTTGGTTCTGCAATTTTGATGCACTTAAGAGTCAGTTTCTCAGAGCAGTACCCATTTTTTGGTTATGCTCTTTGGCTTACAGGAATATATAAGTTCAATATTGTTCACAGAGCATTTCAAAACAGTTGGGTAAGCTGTTGCTCTGTACCTCTGCTTAAGCAATTTTTGAAGTGTTAAAGGTGACAAAAAATTATAACATGCATCTTTCTTTGGTTCTTATAATTTTTATTAATTGACTAATTGCTAAATTTTTTTAGTTATAAAACCCACAGATTTCTTCTTTTAGATTTTCACCAATTTTTCTGTTTTCTTTTCAGTGTTGTTGCCATGGAATCACACCCATTTTCAGTTGGTGATACTATCACCATGAGGCTTATGAAGCGAGCTAAGGTACTCTTAACCCTTTCTGCTCTAACATCAGTGTGCATATTCTCCATACTGTTCTCTGTACATTTCCTAAGCTGCTGACTAGGAGAATTTGTTTAACAGTTGAGAGCTTTTTTAGTTGTTGATCATTTTCTTTATTCTCGTAACCTTGAAATGTGATTCAGGGGTGAAACAGCAAGGAGAAATTACCTGCATATAAGCCACACTTTTTTTCCAAAAATTGTCACTAGAAATTAGAGGTGAGGCTTATCTGCGGGTTCAATCTAATGCCTGGTTACTAAGCTTCGAATGTTTGGCTCATGTTCTTGTTGTAATGCAAAAATCTATGGAAAAACTGTGTTGAATGAAGAAATTCCTGTCAATAAACACCAGAAAAAGATCAATCATATGTCAAAGTTGGTAGAAATGATGTTCATTGTATCAAAGTGCTAAAATTGTGGGTAAGACTTTAAAGTATTTTCTGTTGCAAAGTTAATTAGTGAGTTTATGTTTGATAAACAGTGGATGAAGAAGACTTCTCAAGACGCGACTTTGGATTTCTTTTGATTTCTTTCAAAAAACTTTTTTTCCAAAATTTGAGCTGTTGATTTCAGGGTGCAGCAGTTTTTACGGTAGATGCTCATCATTTAAAGGGTGTAAAGGGTTTAACTCCTCTAAAGTTTAACTGAATCACAATCTTGAATGGCCTCCTCTGTTTTATATCTTAAAATGGTTTGTTAAAACCTGTCTCAAGGAAATTGCCTGGTTACATTTGCACAAGGTTACTGCTATGAACAGTTTCTTACAAACTCCATTGAAAGTGAATTAATTCAGTTTTTATATCATATGGAAATATCAAATTGATCCGACAATTGTCAAATGTATTATAATTATGAGAAACAGGCTTATAAATTGTCTTCAAGTCTCCAAGTTGAAAAGGCAAGCCAGAAGGCTTTCATTGAAACAGTGTGAAAAGAAGATAAAATAGTTGTCCAAGATTTTGTGGTACAAAGCTTGCCCTCTTGCCCACAAGGATATCATCAAGTGTAAAGAAAAGAAAGCTCTTCAAATCCATAGTATTGAACATAATAATTAAAGACAAGTCTTAAGTGTTTTTGGCTGTGGATGGCAACATGTATTTTTATCTTTTTTAGAACTCTGTGCTTGCTATTCCTAAAGCCCAATGGCACGAGAGGGAATTAAAGCCATTCGGAATCAATGGTAACATAGACCTTTTAAAAAAATCACATTAAGAAAGGAAATGTGTGGTATTATATCTGGTTAAAATTTTTTATTGTTTTTCTCTCTCAGATAAGGTAGATACACGTTATGCAAAACTACTGCTGGCCTCTCCTGATGAAGTTTTAAAACAGGTAATTGGATTGTTTCAACTCTGATTAAAACTGTGAAGGAGGGTAAATATTTAATAGTTGTCTGCACAATATGTTTTGAGTTTGAGGCTACTGTTGGTTTCCTTAAAACAGATCATTGAACCTGAAGAGACAGCATTGAGTACACAGCTTGTGGAAGCCAAATGTGAACAGGTATGTGGGAAATTCTTGTATTGGGAGAAGGCAGTTATTATCATTGTGCCCTTTACCCAGCTTGATTCATTAGATAGTGTTAACTATGTAATAAAAGAGATGACATACTCAAAGCTTAGGGATATTCTTAGAAATTGGGAAAACTGTTAAATCCCTAATTCTTGTAATTTGTATTTTATTTTTCTACAGCTGGAGGAAGTTTGTTACATTGAAGTTGCACTAGAAGAAATTCAGGTACAATAGCTCCATGTATGAAACTCGAAGAGCAAACTGTGATGTAACACGGTGTCTTTTATTCTTTTATTCTTTTATTCTTTTATTCTTTTATTCTTTTATTCTTTTATTCTTTTATTCTTTTATTCTTTTATTCTTTTATTCTTTTATTCTTTTATTCTTTTATTCTTCTATTCTTTTATTCTTCTATTCTTTTATTCTTTTATTCTTTTATTCTTTTATTTCGGAATATTGTTGAAACTATTAGATGAGTGTTTCCCTATTCCCTCCACTATCATTAACTAAAGCTTTTGAATCTCTTGGGTATGTTTGCAGGCTCGTCGTGAAAAACTGAGTAAATCAAAGGATTGTGTTGAAGAAGTGAGAAGCCTCATGGAGAGTGAGTGTCAGTTAAGGATCGGTTAAGGATCCTGAATGACTACTGCTTTAAATGTAACCTGCATCTTTATTGATTAATGAAGTGTATTCAATTGCTGATTAGTTTCCTAAATTGATTCCTGGGGTTAGTGCTCTTTCTTGTGGGTTTCAGACAATTAACTTAGTTCTTAACTTAGTAATTAAACTGTTTGTCTTTGCTTGTTGTACTTCTCTAGCCTCCAAACAATCATACAAACAAAAAATGCTGCAAGGTTCTTCATGAACTGGCTAAGATTAATATTTCTATCTTTTCAATAAACTATTTCCGGCATCATGGCTCATCAAGCTCTTGTATTTGTCACAACTGTTTTACACTACTTTCATTTGATTAACCCAATAGTTTCTTGTAAAGCATCACCCCCATTCCACTTGATTGTCTGAATGTCGTGGACCTTTTATCACAAATAGACCTTAAACTCCAGCTCCAGCTCTTGTTTCCACCAACAAAACACCACAGTTTCTTAAGAAACTTACCCCTTTATTCACTTGTTTCTATTTATCATGAGATGTAAACTGGCTCTGAAATTAAAGTTCTCCTTTTCCCTTTTCACAAGAGTTCAGGTTAAAGTAGTGTTTTGACCAGAGTTGGGTATAACAACTTTGAAAGCAATATTATTTTGTTTACTGGGTTGAAGGTTTCTTCAGCAATTAGTTGATTTGATAATGTCATCAGGTTCACTACAGTATGAGGAAGACAATCAAAAAGATGTCAAAGAAGTTACTGGCTGGAAAGTACTTTCTCCAGGGGCATTTCAGGTAAGAAGTTGCTTTCTGACCTGTCTAAGAATGACATTCCATACTCTATCCAAGGCCATATTTAAGAGCCAGAAGCCAGCAAACTAGTTTCTAGCAACTTTTCTCATCAGGTTAAGGTAGGAACTCAAAGGTGATATTGGAAAAGGGTAACACTTCATACAAAAAAACCATCTGCCTTTCATCAACATCTTCTAAACTTGAAGAAAACCCTACATATCAGTTCATTTTTCCAGTGAGGAACTAGCATATTCATAGGGTCTCTTTGGGTGAGGAACAGGGTTCTGGGTATGCTCTGTGGGTTATTTAGCTTGCATTTCTATCCTTTAGGATGTTGGCGAGTATGAGGCAGCCTTCTCTGATGAAGAAGATGGAACAGTGGAGGGTGAAAAACAGAAGTCAAATTTTGATGTGATTGATTCATTATCCAAAGAAACATGCGAAACAACAGAGGTGGTAGAAGATTTTGATAATGTCACTTACCTTAGGAGAGCACAACAGCACAGCAGTGAGAGTACGTCAGGAGATTCTAGTTCAGAGTCTTCGGTCAACTGTCGGCCGACAGGTTACCGACAGTCTACCGACAGCTAACCAACAGGTCACCGACAGGTTAAGAAAAAAGAAAAATTGTGTTAAAAACGAACAGTTAACGTGACATAACAATCCGTAATGGTGATGTATGACTCGACAGACTTCACCTACTTACCGATCGACGGCAAAGTTGAAAGTATGTAAAGAAACGTTTCTTCCAAAATGTTGTTATCAGATGCGTATAGGATATATCACTTGCGTAATTTACAACACACCAGACAATCTAAGAATCGCATTGGAAGATAATTTAATCGAAAACTCGGCCAAAAACTCTGATAACCATAAGTTACGTATCAATACAAACACTTTCGTTCAAATCGCCCAACAATGCAACGCTGCCTCTTATGGTATGTTATGTATGTATCAATGATGTTTACCTTGTGCATTTGTGTTGCTCACATCGTCCTCTATCTTGCAGGTTTGGGATGAATTGCTATTTCCAATTTCAAGTTTAATAAATGATACAACTGTGAATCTTTTTACTCGTTATGTTAAGTAATAAATTACTATACGCAACAATTCGATAATTAGACTTGGATGTGTGATGCGATAATTGATTTAGGCGCGCGCCGCTAAAATCACGATTCTACGAGTATAGTATCTTGTATATTTCACCACTCACAAAACGGCTCCTTTAGGAGCCACCAAATTCTGAAAGTCAATTGTCAACGTATTACACATGTTGGATGTTGTATCAAGCGAAAACCGAGAGAAAACATTAAGGTTTGTGTTAACGTTTCACGGACAAGCTACCGACAAGCTACCGACAGGTTACTGACACATTACCAACCGTCGGCCGACTGTCGGTCCACTGTCGGCCGACAGGTAGCCTATATTTCGGGTAAAACCTGTCGGCCAACCTGTTGGCCACTGTAAAGAGTTTAAAAGCTTTTGAATCTTCCACAGGAGACAATGAAGAAACAGTCAGAATGAATGCAACATGGGAAGATCCTAAGGTACATGTAACTGTACATGTAATTTCAATCCTCTCAGATCCTCTTTAAGATTGGTAGAACTGAGATGCACTTGCTTGTTTGTTTTGTTGTTGGTTTCATTTGCTTCTTTCAAACTTCAGCTCCAAGAATTATCAGTGGTTGCAAAAAAGAACCACACTTTTGCATTTGTTACAAAAAGAGGGAGTTGGATTTTGGATGAGAATTCCTTCTGCTCCATAATTTCAAAAAAAGAAAATGTCAAACCTAGCACTTATGTAATATAATATTCAGAATAAACTAAAATTATAGAGCTACAGTTAAATTTTTTAAATTTAATTATTTTTCCTTTGGAATACAAAATATATTTATTTGTAATGTAATATTTATCTGTAACCAATTAAGATGCACTTCTAACAGGCACCATCTTTAAACCTTAAAGGCACCAGGCACCATCTTTAAACCCTATACACTCTAGTGTATCTTTTGTGAAACTTATTTCTATAAGTAAAGCTGTAGAAATAATCTTTTACCAAGAAAGTGTAAACAATTATTCATAAGTTACTGCTACTATGAGTTTTAACTCTCTCTTCCTGTTGTTGAGCAGAGCAAAGCAACTTATTGAACAGAGGAGACTTGAGAAAGAGGAATCAGAAAATCAAGTGAGTCCAATTTTCTAATCTAAATAATTTTATAGTTATAGTATTGTTTTTCTGGTTGTTAAAACTCATGGTGTAGCTCTGCACTTTGTAAATTATGGATGAATTATCCCATAAATGTATTTTAATAAATATTTCTGTGAAATACACAACACAGTGGCTAATATGTACTTGTCTGAACACCTTGTAAGAATGAACAGTTATCAGCTCTTTATAAGAATGATGTTATCAATCAATCTCCAAATATTTTCATTTCTGTAAGGCCGAAAGTTATTATCATTATTATAAGTTGTATAATTTTTCTTAGTATTAAAATGATCATTAGTATTATTATTTTTGTAAGTTTTATAGTTATTATCATTATCAATTTTATTCAAGCTCCCTTAAGGCTTTGTTTTATTCTGTGCAGAGCTTAATGACTTTTTGAAGTAGTTTTTTCCCTTGAAACAAAGTCTGTGCATAAATAGGCCAAAATCAAGCTTATCTGAGTTTCTGGAGCATGAAGTCACTAGGAGTAAGGAAATTCCCTCAAAATGCAATGCCAGTCCCTTTTAGGATACATGTATCCCCTCGCACTCTCTCATGTTTCCCAAACAGTTTGACAGTACCCCATTTAAATGTTTATAAACCTTAGTGGAGAGAGATACTGTGAGAATATATTGTCTTGTTCTTAAGAACACTACTACAAAATGATAACCTTCTGATCATTTTGATATGGAGTCCAGTATCCTACTTATAGCCAATAAGCAATCATGTTTATTAACTTTGAGCTCAGTTTTTGGTGAGTTCATGAAAGATAAATAAAGCACTCACTCTGCATTGCCACTTTGATTCAGCAGAACACCAATTTATTATCTTCATCATTCAAGAGATGATAGAGAAAATTCTTTGCATTTTAGGAAACCAAAAGGAAGGAATTTGATAGATGTCATCAGGGACAAGAACTTGGTAAAGCCAAAAGGGACTAAGAAGAGAGACAGGCACAAAATCAAAGAAGACAGAGCCAAAGACCATGCCCACAGGGAAGCTGTGCAGCAGCAGATTGCAAGAGATAAAACAGAAAGGGAAGCTAGACAACAGAATGAGGTGCAGGAGAGACAGTGTGCTCAAGCTGCCTCACCCTCACCTTCAACTACCATGACTGAAGGCAGTGAGGGGTCAGGAAAGACTGAGTGGTGAGTAAGGTAGAAATGCAGTGAAACATGTCATTTGTACAGGTTTAGAGTTCTTGAATATCCTTCACTTGTAAAAGTAATTAAAAGTACATTTTATTTGTAACATCAGCCATTACTTGAGCCATACATTGTTGTATTGTATTGTTATTAACTGCTCTGCACAGGCAACAGAGACTTTTTGTTTTTACTCAGCATTTCTGCCCGGCTTCAGTTTTGTATTCCAGATGGTAGTTTGTTAACAAACTCTTTCCCACCTGATACTCCTTTGGAGACCATCCAACAGTATATCATCACTGTGAGTAGTTGATTTTTACAAGAACACGTACATGTATGTATAAAAATGAGCAAAATTTTAGGGAGCTTTCAGGGAATTCAATATAGATAAGTAGAGGAGAATTCAGAGTTAAATGTATTGGAACTATGATTGTTAGGTTTTTATTTTAGAGGCTAGAAATAGTTTTTCTTAATATTCCTCCTAAAGTCAGATTAGATATACCAATTCTTAAGTCTGCATTAGATTCTTAATTTTCAGCAACCTTGCCTGTGTGTGTCCAATCAAAGATTCTCTTTAAGACCATTTGATTTTTGTCAATTGTCCACACAGCCATCAACCCCTTCAAAACACAAGTGAGCTCTTTTGACCAAATTTGTAATAAATGTACTGAAAATAAGTTTTATTAATTATGTGGATCTTTTCAATTGTTCTCAGCAACTAGGACCCAGTACCAGCTCAATAACAATATACACCACCTACCCTAGGCAGAAGCTGAGTGAAGAAGACCTGGTAAAGACTTTGGCTGAGTTAGGTCTGGCACCAAGTTCCACTTTAATTGTAGCTGTGGTAAGTTTAAGATCAATATTAGGTTGTTTTTAAAACATTCATCCATTGGAAAGAATGAATATTTGTCTCATGTGAACTTGGCATATGGCTTGGCCTACCAATTAGTTCTTTTTAATTTGTGTAACCCAGAGTTAGGTAATGGAAGTTGAAACTTTAGAAAATAAAAGCAGGGTTGTGTTTTAGGAAAGCTTGGGTGCCACTTGCAACCAACTTTAGCTTTTTTCTTCTCCTTCAATCCCAATGAATGTTCAATCTTTTGTGGTTGTTTTTATTTTTTCATTGGTTATTATTATCATATTTGTGAAAAATGTTTCCTTAAATTTTTTGAGTGAATTTCCACATTCCCCTATCATTCAGAAATTTCCCAAAACTTAAAAAGATAAATAAGCGATGCTAAACTTTCATTTTACAGAGAGGAAGTAATTCCCTCACTCCATCTGGGACTTCATCATTCCCTGAACTGTTGTTATGGATTCTTTCACCTCTGTTCATGCTGATTAACTTCCTGAAAGCTTTCCTATTTGGTAGTGGGGATCAGTCTAGAGGGACACAGAATCCTCCTTCACAGAGAACAAACAGCAGCACACAGTCACAACCATCAAAGTGAGTCTTTTTTTGGTTGTTTGCCTTTTGTAAACAGCTGCACAGTTTGTTGTTCTTTATCAGCTGCACAGTTTGTTGTTCTTTATCAAACTAGTTTGGTTGTTTGCTTGTTGGTGTTATGAATGAAATTTTTTCCTATAAGCCAAAAAAGAAAAAGCAAAAACAATTCCTAGATATTAAGTTTTAAGAATTTGATTTACAGTCAATTTTATTGTCCATTGTTCTTTTTTTTTGCTTGTTGTTTGACAGATGAAAGTTTTGGAGAATTAATCAACTTGTGAATGCTTGAAAGTACACATATTATTCCACTGGTGACTCTTGACTAAATATTCAATTATTGCAATTTGCAAATTTCACAAAAACAAAGATGGTCTCTTGTTTTATATTGTTGTTTCAGTGAGTAGAAAATTGCTTTTTTGTGAATTTGGGCTTATCAGCTTTTCTTTCTGATGAGAAAAATATAGCAATAAAAAAGGTAATGAAATAAACACACTCTTAGTCAAATTCAGAGTCATGAACAACATCTAAACTCCTTCCTTCCTAAGGTTACATGCCAATCTTTCTTACTGTTTTTTTTTTTTTAATTTTATTTTTTTCATGGCAGTTCTGCTGTACGTCATAGAGTCCTGGGTGGTGTTTCATCTGTAAAGAAAGAAGGTGGAATTCACTGGCTTCACAACAGAGATGATGAAGATGACGAGAATAACACATGGAATTGAAACTCTACTCAACAGATGTGGTGGAATGATCCATTTTTTGTTTAAAATATATGGAGAGTTAAAAATTTGGTCTCTGATTTGGAATAATTCTTGTTAAACAGACTTGTGTGGAGATTAGCTTTGATGTTCGAGTGACAACAGTCTTTGGTAAAAATGACATTGATACAGAAACAATGTTCCTTTAGAAAGGAATCAAGCAGTTGTGTTGGCTCATTTTTGTATACAGTTGTGACTAGCCTGTATTGTCCATTATTCACAGAATATCAAAACAATTGAAAACAGGAAACAGTTTAAAAGTTTTCTTCACTGTATGTGATGGTTAATGGCAGAACAATTTTCAATGTCTTTCCCAAAGGTCTGACCAGCTTCCAGTTGTCATGACAGTTACAGTTAAAATGTCAAAGGATATCACTCCCCAGTCCCTCAAGAATGCAGAGAGAAACATGGGACCAAGGCTAAAATAAAACATACTATTTAAATGATATTGGAGTGAGTGGTATAGAATAAAAGAAAAGGAAGTTTTAAATAATGTACAGAGATGATTTTTTTTTGAAAGCTTATCCTTTAGCCTTTAGGGACCTCTGTTAGACCTGATCATGTAGTGGTTTTTTTAGCAGTGTTAAATGATATTAAGGGCACAATAAATCATTAAATACCCAGAAAAAAATTTGATCAGTAAGCCACTGGGACATGAATTTACGTCCCAAAAAAAGCCGAGGAAAACTGAGAAAATTTAATTTAAAAAAAGGCAACAACAACAAAGGACAACTTGCACCGCAGTTTGTTTTCATTTCCCATCCCGTAAATCCACACTGTCCATTTCCTTTTATCCTCCTTTCACTATTCCCAGGCTCCAAACGAACCATAACTACTGTGTTGACCAAGTACATTCAGTTTCGCTTTTGGCTTACGCCTTAATTCACCGAGTTCGTAGTTCATCAGCCGGTTGTCGAATTGCTGTGTAATAACCTGAAAACTTTGATCAATTGCTTCAAGACCGTAATCTTGCTGTTTCACATCAAACCCAACAGAAGGACCAACATCTTGCATTGCAGTGATAAACAAAGAGTCTTGACAAATTTGCGCCTTCGCTACTGGTGATTACACGATTTGAGATCGAATATTCTGGTCAGATTGCTGATTTTTTTTTCTGTTTGTGTCTGCTAATTTTGTTTCCGTGCTCTTGGTGGCGCACTACCAAAGATTCTCTAGACAAGTGCAATACATGTGGAATAAATTTTCAAATTGGCAATAACAGAGTGAATTTGAGTTGCCTTTACAAATCACAAGAAATGATGATGATCGATATTTATTTCACAGTTTTACCCATCGATTATGCTTGATACATGACTGTTAAAACAAGTAAAAAATCACATTAGTTTAGTTAGGGTGTATGTGAACTGAATCATTCAGAAGAGAATGTAAACGACCTGCCACGTAATCGTAAATTGGCACGTTCATATTTGAAATCCTCGACTCTTGTACCAAAAATGCACATCAAGGAAAGGGTTAAGTTTCATGTATTTTCACGCAGTGGCCTACAGCTTGTTGTGGTTATTCACCGCGGTGACTACCTTAGTAATGAAAAATTTTGTGGATTGTCTGATGAGTCGTCACTTTCAATGTAGGATCGCACTGTTGCTGTTGCTATCCCATGAAGAAGCCTTGGCAGACCATGACAGAAATCTGATTGCGTTGCTACAGAGATGCAAGGAGCGAAACTTCAAACTGAACAAGGACGAGTTCGTCTTCAAACAACAGAAATTGAATTACTGTAGTCATATCTTAACTTCTGAGGGTATTTTACCAGACCCAGCCAAAGTTGAAGCCATCACTCAGATGCCGAGACCACGCAGTAAGACTGAAGTGAGAAGACTACTTGGAATGATCAATTATCTGGGCAAATTTTTACCTCAGCTGTCCGACGTATCTGAACCTCTCACAAACTTAACCAGGGCGCAAAACCAATTCATTTGGTCGAAAGTTCAGCAAGACGCCTTCAACAAGTTGACTCGACTCTAGGAGCAGAGGGATGCATGAGACTCGCGAGAGATACATTGTATTGGCCATCGATTCATCATGATATATAATATCTCTGCGATAACTGTTCCATATGTCAAGAAGCTAAACCAGATCAACCTAGAGAAACCATGCAGAGCCAGCCTATTCCAAAGAGAAGATGGCAAATAGTCAGTACTGATCTTTTCAATGTGAAGAAGGACGTCTTCTTGGTAGTTGTGGATAATCTTACAAGATACTGGGACTTAGAGCAACTGAATGATACTGATGCTGAGTCCGCAATCTTACAGATGAAAAAGATGTCCGCCCTGTAGGGAGTCCCTGAGGTGGTGATATCAGACAATGGTCCTAAATATGCTAGCAAGGAATTTAAGGAGTTTTCAGAGAATTGGAACTTTCATCACTATACATCTTCACCACACCATCCAAAAGGAAACGGCACATCGGAAACTGCAGTCAAACAAGCTAAGAGGATACTCAAGATGAGTCGCGACCCCTGGATGGCAATTTTGGAATAAAGGAATACACCTGATGAGTTGGCATCAGCAAATGAGAAATTGAATTCCAGAAGAACAAGAACAGTGATATCAGTTAAATCAGAGTTACTTGAACCCCACGTGATACCAACCTCAAGCATCATACGAGCTTCAGTCAAGAAGAAGCAACAGAACAAGAGGTATCATGATAAGAGAGCAAAGCCGCTACCCCCTCTTGTTGTAGGAGATAATATTCGCGCTAAGATCAGGCCTCGGTCGTCGCCCCTGTGGACACAAGGAAGTATGGTCAGAAGAGAATCTGACAGATCCTACATGGTGAGGGCCGATGGCCGTGAGTATAGGAGGAATCGGTGTCACATCAGGAAAACTAGAGAAATGACGACGCCCAAAGCCGTTGTTACAGACCCTTCTTTAGACTCTCCTGTGGGCTCACCCACACAGTCAGATGCAGCCTTGCCAACTGCCCCACAGCCAAAATTCTTAGAAGTACCTGAAGTCAACAATGAAACAGGACAAATGCAGTTGAGTGACATAAAAAATAAATCAAAATCAGAACCAGTACCGATCCGACAAGGCGTAAGAAGATCACAAAGACAAGTCAAGCCAAACTCAAAGTATAAAGACTTTGTTCTGTTTAAATAACCTTAGAGACATTTAATAGACTGCAATAGGCAATGTGATTTCTCGTGATTTCCTTAATGAATTGTTCGTCAGTCTTGGTAAAGAAGAGAGGATGTAGTGTGCCCTACAGGAATGTTCTCGAAGTAGCTGTGTCATGCTGAGTCATTCCTGAATCAATATATAAATAGAATCTGTTATAATGTTACGGAACGTTCTAGATCTTCAACCGTACCTATAAAAGCCGAGCTTGTAACTAGATGTAGCGAGTAGTTTAGTTGCCGGTATAGCCCGTCAGATATCAATAAAGGTGTATGCTGCAGAATACAAGACGTCCATGCTTCAGATACATTGACTAAGTCGATCCGATACACGTAGAAAGTCGTTTGGACTCGAGTAAAGGTTTATTATCCAAATATCCAAATTAATTATTTATCATTTTTGAAATGTTTTTATTTCCCATCTCGTAATATATTTCTTCTTATCCTCCATTCACTATTCTCAGGCTCCAAACGAACCATAACTATTGTGCTGACCAAGTACTTTCAGTTTCGACTTCCGCTTACGCCCTAATTCACCGATTTCGTAGTTGGTCAGCCGGTCGTTGAATTGCTGTGTAACAACTTGAAAACTTTGATCAATCGCTTCAAGACCGTAATCTTTACTTACGGTGGCGTTGAGGTGACTGCTGTTTCACATCAAACCCAACAGAAGGACCAACATCTTGCACTGCAGTGATAAACCGAGTCCTGGTTGAGGAAAATCCGCCTTCGCTACTGGTGATTACACAATGTGAGATCAAGTATTGTGGTAAGATTACTGATTCATTTTGCTGTGTATGTCTGCTAATTTTTTTTCCATGCACTTAGTGGCTGACTACTAAAGATTTACTAGAGTGAATCATATAAGGTGACTCAATACAAGCTTAAGTTGATTCGATACATTGACTAAGTCGATCCGATACACGTAGAAAGTCGTTTGGACTCAAGTAAAGGTTTATTATCCAAATTAATTATTTATCATTTTTAAAATGTTTTTATTTCCCATCTCGTAATATATTTCTTCTTATCCTCCTTTCAATATTCTCAGGCTCTAAACGAACTATAACTATTGTGCATAAAATCTTGCTCTGCAGTGATAAACCGAGTCCTGGTGTAGGAAAATCCGCCTTCGCTACTAGTAATTACACGATGTGAGATCAAGTATTATGGTAAGATTACTAATTCAATTTGCTGTGTATGTCTGCTATTGTTTTTTCCATGCACTTTGTGGCTCACTAGCAAATATTTACTAGTCAGAGTAAAACATATAAGGTGACTCAATACAAATTGAAGTTGATTCGATACTGTAGTGTGACCTTCAAGAATGTTCTAGAAGTAGCTGTGTCATGCTGAGTCATCCCCAAATCAATATATAAATAGAATCTGTCGTAATGTTACAGCACGTTCTAGATCCTCAACCGTACCTATAAAAGCCGAGCTTGTAACTAGATGTAGCGAGTAGTTTAGTTGCCGGTATAGCCCGTCAGATATCAATAAAGGTGTATGCTGCAGAATATATCACGTCCACACTTCAGCTACATTGACTAAGTCGGTCTGACACACGTAGAAAGTCGTTTGGACTCAAGTAAAGGTTGATTATCCAAACATCCAGATTAATTATTTATCATTTTTAAAATGTTTTTAATTCCCATCTCGTAATATATTTCTTCTTATCCTCCTTTCTCTATTCTCAGGCTCAAAACGTACGATAACTATTGTGCATAAAATCTTGCTCTGCAGTGATAAACCGAGTCCTGGTTGAGGAAAATCCGCCTTCGTTACTGGTGATTACATGATGTGAGATCAAGTATTGTGGTAAGATTACTGATTCATTTTGCTGTATATGTCTGCATATGTTTTTTCCATGCACTTTGTGGCTCACTAGCAAAGATTTACTTAGTATAGGTAATCACATGATTTCTAGTGCAATTTGGAATAAATAAGGACGAGTAAATTTTTTCAAAGATCAACAGAAAAATAATGTGATAACGTGTTAATAATATACATGGAAAAAAAAACGAGATAGCTTATCATAATTTAGCAGAAGCAAAGCGCGCGCATCAAGTGCAAAAATAATTTATTCAAACCGTGCGTTCGGTCAAAACAACCGCGTACGATCAAAACAATAATATACAATGATATCTTCACATCTTTAAGGCGCAAAAAAGGTTCAAAGTCCGGCTAAACAGTTCAAGGAATTGTTCAGTCTGTGTCCGAATCACTTTCGATGAAATGGAATCGTCGTTTCCGAGGTTTTACCCTGTTTGTTTTTAATTTCGGCGTAGGATCGCTCGAGCAAAGTGTTAAGCTGGGTCGGCTCGTAATTCTCGATCTCCTTGGCAATTCCCTTCTCTAAACACCACTTTTTCTAACCAAAAAGTAGTGCTTTTTACAGTGTTTTCGTTGTTAGAGCTGTTTTTCAGCCGTGGTGGCGAAAGAAAACCTACTTAAAACGCCGGCCATTGTTTCGCTCAAAAATTTTCAAATTTTGTTACGATATTCGAGGCTCGCATTTGATTGGCTGTCTGTGAGTTTCTTTGATTATTGACCAATCAGAATGTCTGGTTTGTTACTTCTTTGCACTGAATTATCTGAAAACTTCAGTCATCTTAACCAATCAGAACTGGGTAATTTTTTCATGTATATTATTAAGCGAGGAACGAAACGAATACACTAATATTTATTCCTTGGAACGGTTGTAAATGTTCCCATACAAACTCTTATAATTTCGCCTCGACTGTTATTTCGTAAGATGATTATCTCACAACTGGAGCTTGGGCCGCCTGTGGTCGTAGTAAATCGCAATGTTAAAGCCGAAAAACATCTGAAAACCAAAAACTTTTCAACAGACTACTGTTCATTATCATATTATGCAAGCGTCTGTCATTAATGTCAAGATCTTTCAAAACAGACTCCCTTTTTCGAGCAATTTGGTGAACATCGATCAAATATTCTTCGTCGCTCCTTTCCAAGGAAGGCGACTGAACATTGTGCATCTTCGATCTTGCAGTGGCGACCACATCAACCAAGCACTGACGTAAAAGAAGACCTTCGTAATGTTGATGATGTGATCATGCTTATTTTTAGAATTGAAACCAGAAAATCAGGATCGTATAATTCATTTTTTTTCCTTGTTTCTGTGCGGAATGGAATAGTTTCTGGAATATATAAGGTATTTTTCATCAATTTCTTGTCGTGAAATGGTACAGTTTTCCATACATTTGGAAACGACACATTTTCGGCGATGCATGCAATTTCCGTGACAGTCTTTAAAAGAATACTTTAGGTCACGCAATGTTTCACCATGCCGAGCGTAGAATAAATGTAACTGTTTACGGTCGTTTCCATATAAGGCGATTGGAAACAAGCTGGAATTGATTCGATACATCGATTTAGTCGATCCGATACACGTAGAAAGTCGTTTCGACACAACTTCAGTCACATGATTTCGATACAAACTAGTGAAGGTTTATAAACCAAACATGCAAATTAAGTGGCGATCTCTGTAAGAGCGCTTCAGGGCATTTTACATCGGGAAAAAATTTTGCCTCAAATTTTGGCTATTAAACTATCTTTGGTAGTTGGTAAATAAAACCACATTGGTTTCTGGAAATACGTTAAAAATGTTTTATGATATGATATTCGATACGTTTTGTTCACCTTTTTCGTCACGAGACAGAATCGTTTGCCAGATTTTAGCAGTTTAAAATTTTTAGAGTATCAATCAGTGTGCTCTAAAAGCTTTGTCCTTCTATCTTTTCTTTTCAAAATTGTTAAAATCCTAGATTTATGAAGCTACTAATAAAGAACGGTCGAAGTTTGCTCAACAGACTAATTTGCATAATTC